TGTGTGTGTGTGTGTGTGTGTGTGTGTGTGTGTGTGTGTGTGTGTGTCTGTGGTGAAACACTTGAATGGTCTTTCATCACGAGAGGGAATAACTTGTGCCTGGAGCTGCACCACTGCTTGTCTGTCTGTAAGATCTCATCTCTGGAGCTTTTGTTTCCATTTATTTTGACAAGCGTTTTGTTTCTTACTATTCTGGGCAGAGCTCTTTGCCTTTAATCCCTCAGCCTGGTGGTATTTTAAAAGATTTTTCACTGAACTAGTGATTACTTTATCAAAGCCGGTGAAAACATCTGGCGTCTTTCGCTTTCCTAACTTCATGGCTCTGTGCTCCCTTCAGAAGCTTTACCGATGTGGGGCTACGGAACTAGCCGGTTAACAACACGAGAAACAGATGACCTCAAGATGCATCTTAAGGACCACTGAGACAGACAGATTCTGTAACGAACTAATGTTTTTTAGGAGCACCATGATGAGAATGAAAAAAGATTGGATCTGAAAAGCTTGTGCCAAGTCTTGTATTCATCACTTTCTATAAACCCACAAGCACCTCAGTTGAATTATGAATCTTTTTATAAAATTGGCAATTATAACAGATGTTTTGTGATACATTCACAGGACTTTGTGCTAAAAGTGCCACAGCATCATCTTTATTTGTATCCTCACAATGGTTTGGTGTATTCCAATTCCATGTAACATGCTTCCTGCCCTCTACAGTTGAACTGTATATCTAATGAGAGCTGCGGATAACCAAGAAAAACAATCCATAGCTCTGGTTATTCCTCTAAATGTAGTGAACATAATTCATGCGCGGCCACAGGAAGACGCTGCAGGAAGGTTTCATGAAAACAAGCCTTAGCCGAGTTATCTTTCAACCACAACAACCCCACACAGAAATTTCCCACTGAAATAACCAAATAAAGGGAAAAAAGCAAAACCACTGACCTAGGCCACCCCTTTATATCTTTAAAGGGGCTATTACTAAAATAAAGTTTTGGGAAAAGTGGTTTGTACAAGCAACCGGTCTTAAAATTAGCCTTGACAGAAAACAGAGGAACGGGCCAACAGTGATTCGTGGAGCATCCTATGACAGACCAAAGACTTATTTCCTGTAAACAGTTGTATTGGACATCATTCTAACTGGGCCCCTTTAATGGCTGAGTCCAAACAAAGCTTCCTAAAAGAGGGGCCAACGCCACCCGTCAACACACAACGCACATGGACAAAATGGAAGTGTCAATGTGGAGCAGGTTTAGGGCAGAAGACAAAGCTGCTGGGATGTTTTGACCAAAGGATCAGAATCATCACATTAAGAGGGTATTGGTTGAACTTTAAAAAAAAGATGGGGAAAAAAAGAATCCTTCACATTTACATGTACACACTAACTATAAAAAACAAAATGCGGCTCAGTACAGAAGTCTCCACACAGCAGCATCCTGTAGCTCCACTATGAGTGACCCACTCAGGAGGGACAGAGTATGTACTGTAGGTGTGTGCACACAGGGGACCCTCCTGGTACCTCCTCAAGGCAAATTGAAACAAGAGCTACTTTTACTTCTGTTCGACTCCATATTTAAAACTTATATTCAGGAAGTCTTTTACATGCCCTGAGAACTAAGGAACTTACCAAAAGACACAATTAAGTAAAGTGGGAAGGAAGGGTCAGCAACCGGCAAAATAAAAAAGGAGAAAACAGAACAAATTTTAATCAGGACTGGTTTGCCCCAGAAAATTTCAAACACAACACAAACTAACATACAACAGCAAAAATACAAAATTGATTTTGAAAAAGAAAGCAATCAAACTCATAGTGGAGAACCCAGAACATGCAAAGTCAGACAGTGATGAATAAAATCGAAAAAGGTAAGAAAACAAAGCCCTTTAACACACCATAGAGCATTTCCAAAGGGAACACTGAGTTCTACCCAAACCATGCAACAAACCAAGATAACTAAGATGTTAATACTGTTAAACAAAAGGTCGGAATGGATGAAAAAATAAAGCAGGGGTCGATTTAGTTTAAATCATTAAAAGAAGAACGGGAATAACAACTAAAATCAAAAGGGATGAATCAAATAAGCCTCACATTACCATGAGCTCAACCCTCTTTGGGGGAAAAGACATCTTTAGACATCTGGTTAAAGCTTTGACCAAAAGTTTGCTACACTTTTGTTGGGCTAACGGGAAACGCTCGTCATAACACTGAAATCGAGCCCTGTGGATGAGGATGAGATGCAGTGTGACAGCAGATGGTGCCAGCCAATGAGTGTGTGCTGACTGTGGCACCGCAGACAGACAGGAGATGGGGGTGGGGGGAGAGTGCGGATTGTGCGGGTGACGCATTCACGTAGACTTTTGTCATTAGTGTCACACACCGTGGCTCCCATGCACAGCCTGCCAGCACTGTCACGTTACGAAAAAAAAAGATAACACGAGCTCCTTTTGCACAGGAAGAGGAGCGAGGAGACAGGAAAACAGCTGAGGACGCTGCTGAAGATACAGCAAGAGTCTCCAGAGGCAGACAGTGGAAAATTGTCTGCAGATGTTAATGGACTGGATGTATGGAACAAAGCAAAGAGAGCAACAGAATGCTCACAGCTGGCAAATAAAAGATGCAAGTAAATGAAATACAAAAAGATAAACATGAGCAGGGCCAAGCAACCAAGGAACTATTTTCACCACCTACCTCCCAGCCAGTACTCTGTGTAACAAAGAGAATATAGAACATGTGAACGACAAGACTTATACAACCCCCCACACAGAGTGTGGTACTCACACAAACGCATATTCACACGCGCACACACACACTCACACACACACATATATACACACAGGATGTTACCAAGGCACAGTGAGCGCTTTGAAACGTATCCAGGTTACTAGGTTACGAGCTGCAGAGCAGAGCGTCTGACTCCTGACTTAAGTTTAGTAAATAAATGAAAGAAAAATATTTTTGTTTTTCCCTTTGGCAGCGTTTCTGTCCGTCAGCACAAATCCTTGTGAAACTAGTTGCTTCGCACAGCAAATAACTGTAACCGAGCACAACGGGACATCATTGCTACAAGACGCACAACTGGCCACTGAAATCTTGTGTATCTTTAATTTAATAAATCACAGAATCACAAAGAATATTTAATGCTGAATTTGAAGGACGATAACCACAAACATTTTCTGAAAAATTCTGTCCGCAAGACACAATACATAATGTTTTCACAGCTATGGGCAGATCATGAAAAATAATCCCTGTTTGTTCTTCTTTTCAGATTGACATCTTAAAAAATGACACTGCAGCCTGGTGAGAAAGAGGTAGTCTCTTTGTGAACTGTGCATTTACCTGATGAACAATTTTGCTAAAGGCTTCCTGTAGTTTACCATGGATGGTGGCCAGCTTCTTTGCATCTCTGTTGGCTTCATGGATTGGAATCAGTACCTTGTATACTTCATTCACTGCCTCATACATGCCAGCCTGGGAGGGACATTAACACAGACATCAGACCCGAACTCACCTACATTCTCAGAAGAATAAGAGCCAAGGAGATTAAAATAACAGGACATCTGACTTTTTTTCTTTTATATCGTACAGTACTGATACATCTGGAATAATTAAAATGTTATCACATGAGCAGACCAGTATTCTATCTCTAGTAGGCATCTTAATACTAAGTAACTTTGTGTCTAGTAAATTAATTCATTTGAACACAGAGTGAAATATGTTTTTTTTATTACAGTACGCAGTTTGTTCGAAGAACAGCCAGAATCTTCCTCATCAACACCCTCACCATAGAAAAAGAGGCAGCAGCCTGCTCCAGCAGCCCCACGAGACCGATTTCCGTGAAATATTTCCCCGAGCAGATGCCCTCCTCATCTGGTGACACCACATCATCAGAGACGGCAGATTCCTCCAGCACATTGGAGGAAATATTCTGGAAAGCATGTGCATGTTGGCCCATTAAACACATGGTGCTCATACCCAGACATGTGTTGGGCCAAAAGGGTATGCTAATTAAATTGTCTACAGGAGCCATCATTACCTGGAAAGTGACGCAGCCTACAGGGAGGTACTTGCGATCTTCCAGCATGCTGAGGTATTCTGCCACCAGGGCCGCGCTGTGCACCAGACACTGAGCCGCCTCAGCATGATTGTTTCTCTCCGAGTGTTTTCCAGCCATGTTCTGGAGCCATGTCAGCCGCAGATCTGGAGACGTTTGGTATCCCTTTGCAATCCTATTGATTAACACCAAAGCGAGTCCGCAGTGAGGGAGCACAGAAGTGCACACAGCGACTAACGCATCAAAGAATACGTAGGATATTTGTTGTTTTGTAGCTGCCCAAAAGAGGGTAGGGTGTTTTGTACCTGTACATGAGATCTACCAGCATCTCAGGATCCTCTTGATGCTCCTTCATCTTCACTGTGTCAGACAGGATCATGTGTAGATTAAACACAAGGTCTTGAACCTGGACATAAACATTTGGAGCTCAGGGTGAATTATTTTTTCAATTAGAGAGTGGAGTATCAGAACAAATAAATAAATATCCCTTCAATAAAATGCCCAATCTACACTCTCTCAGTGGTAAATACTACAAGTCAGGACCCTGACAGGTAAAGTAGTACCTGATCTGGGAATGTGGTCTCCCTCAGCTCCAGGTCCTCCTCTGCATAGGTAAGGATGGTCTTCAGAGAGCGGCGGAGGAATTCCTCATTAAAATTCTGAGACGTGCCCACCAGTGAGGACAGGGACATGGTTACCTGCATCTTTACTCTTGCAAAATTCTAAAAGTGAAAACACACAAACAGTAGAAATAAATTAAATAAAAGAAAAGAAATGCCAGTGCTGTTTCTACAGTATTGGACATACAGGCACAGTGGTTGAGGAGGTTCATAAAATGAACCCGTCATCCCTACAAATCCCAATCCCTACAAATACACAATACTACACATGGTCAGCTTTAAGTTCACCATTAAGTTTATAGCTGTGCTTACGTTGCCGATCTCGAAGTTTTGCCTCATGAGGAGGTAGAGGGAGGCGCTGGCATGGGATCTGATGGTACTAATGCTGCTGCTGCAGCTCCGCAGAAGTCGCAAACACAGATCAGCACATTGCTCAGTTTCCTCCTCAAACAACAGTTCAGGAAACTACATGGGAGAAAGAAAAAAACACACGGGCTTACAAATCAGCAGATAGTAATTCTACAATAAACGGTAAAGATTAGCTGAACTCTCAGTTATTAAGGGCCTACTAACCTTAGACACCAAGGCCCTCTGTGTAGCAAAGCAGTGCTGAAGGTAGAGGGCGCTCTGGTTACAGGCCATGTTGTGGAGCAAGACTTTCAACACCCCACCCAGAATGCTCTCCTTCGATTCTGTCACCGATACCGTCTGGAGGGGGAGTGACATATTTTTTAAATGAGTAAAAGAGCATAAAAGCATGTAACATACCAGTCTAAATTTAGAGCTGTAAATCGGCATTTATCCTATTAACAACCAAACATGCTCACCTGTACAACAATCTCCAAAGTGTCAAGAATAATCAAGTTGGCTTCCGTTGCAAGGTTACCATCAATAAGAGCTTCATGTTCCAGCTCTGCTCTAGTTCTGCAATGAAGAACCCAGAAACAATGTCGTAAAATAAACTTACCATATAAGTACTATAGAACTATAGAAATAATCAGGATGATGTGCTCCTGAATGTTGCATAAACTTTAAACCACCTCATTCCACCAGCTGCACATGATCATAACAATAATTAAGTTTGAAGGAAAAAACTTTAATGCTGAGTAAAACCTCAGGTATTTATGGGAATGTAATTGCCCTGAGACATAATAAAGCATTACGTATTTTCATTTACTCTGGCAGAGTCATAAGCTGCACTGAAAGACACCTACATGGATTACCAACTGTAACAGCACATGCTTGCACAGTTAGCCTATGCTTCTAACTCCAATGTCCAGGAAGTTAACAGATTTGACCAAATTCTTCAGCACTGACTGAGTAAGTGAGCTAAGCATTCTGTTCAGGTCTACAGGTGGAAATCCTGTAAAATGTTGTGAGTGTAGATATGCTTAAATGACTTTTTAGCTCTTATGTGTACAATACAAAACTATTTTTTTTTCAAAATGAGGGAAATACAACCTTTTTTTTATTTCTTAAATCTACATTGATCTACTGAGCTTTTTCCACAGGAGCAAACAAAGACCACATAAGTCAGAACCCAAAAACAAGAAGCATTCTTGTTAAAAAGCCAAACAGACCCACAGCAACCTCTACCAACCCAAAGACACGTTGTTACCAGAACAGAAGGACTGGTGGGGCAGGGGATTCAAGGGACAGAACCAGGGGCAGGGGTCTCTGATGGTGCTTTCATGTGCATGTGAGTAAAGTTGAAATGGAGATGAAATTGATTAAAAAACACTTCTTATATCAGTGGCTGTGGCATTAGTGTTTCTTACTTAAAATTATATTAAAACATATGATTCTGATTTAATCAAATTAGATTAGAGCCCAGACAAATTAATTTATCCATTTCCAATTCAACCACCTGATGTCCCACATGCATCATGGCACGCCTTAAAAGAGGTACTATAGCAGGGGGCGGACAACTGAAAGCAGCACACAGCAAATGTGGACCATACAATACCTGACTGATCTGTGACTCCTACATAAACACACAGCAACATAAAAGAACAAAGGGGAAATTAACACAAAAAAAACAAATGCTGTGGCAGAATTTACAAAAGAACAGAAAATTATATTAAATACAGCGAAAAAAAAGTATTTTAATCCACTTATTAGAAACAAAAGACAGTGACAAAATTATACTCTCAACTTAACCCCATTCTGTTCCTTTGTAAATCCTGAAATTAAATGGAAAATAACAAATAATGAGTTTGTGAAGAGCACGTCTTCTGTGTAATGCTTTAGCATCAATTTTCTAAGTAGTCATGTGTAAGTATACACATTTTTTACTTGTTTCACTTAAGCACATTGTATATTTCACTGGACTGTAGTTTTTAAATGGGATTTTTTTTAAATGGAATAACAGCAGATTCAGATAGTGTTTTATTTAAGTGATAAAGTAAGAATAAAGAATATATATTTAAGCATTTGAAATAGCCTACTTGTCCATTCGCTCGCTGTTTTGTCTCCAGTGGGTCATGTCCTTCCTCCATCTGAGGTTTTCCTGACTGCCAAAAGCACTACCCGATGGACTCCTCTCTAAATGGTGGGGAAACATCATTTACTTTTTCAGTGTTAACAATATAAGTTTCATGTGAGCAAGGAAAACAAAACTGCCTGTAGCTGTATGTACGATGACATTAAGGAGAGCAGATGTGTCCAAGAGTGAGATATTTGATTATTTTATTACCGTATCTACTAAAGAGAGGCAATGAAGGCTGCATTTCTTTACATGTTTGAATTTACAAAGAATTGATCCCTTTATTTCAGAATTTCATTTTTCCTTGGATTTGCTCAGAACAGTGTGCATGCATGTATGTATGAACAGGTGCCCCACCTAGCTGTCCCCGACTACGTCGCACCATTTCCTGTCTGGCCCCGATACTGCCCAGTATGGCCTCTTCCAGCTTGGCCTTCATATCTTTGGACTTCTTAAAGGTTAGGCTGTTCATGCGTTCAAATGCCTTCTTCCCCTGCATGGTGAACACAACATGGGCCTTGTTTCCATGAAGAAAGCGGTGAGTGGATAGAAAGAAAACACACAGCAGGGAAATTATTTGTAACACAGCACGCAGCAAGCAAAGCAAGTTAGTAGCATGAAAGCAAAGGTGCAAGCAAAGAAGAGCAAACAGTAAACACAGCATAGCAGGAAGGCTTTGAAATTGACCAAAAAGAACAGATACATTTAGAATCGAGAGCAGAGGGTGTCTATTTTTCACTATGCCACCACAAGAGTCTAAGCAGATAAAGGTATTTGTCCCACATGGAAAAGGACAGTGCAAGTAATCATCCCCTCAATACAAAAATATCAGTTCAAAAACTCACAACCTCTTTTTATGAATGTAAAAGAACGATAAAAAATGTATATACTCTGAACTGCTGATGCCAAAATATCTACTCTCTACAATAATGTTAAGATCAATGTTCTATATTCTCAGTAAGTTTGACTGTTTTAACAGTTGGCATTACCTTGTACTCAAAGCAGGAGACACAGAGGTACAGCAGATCCAATAATCGGTTGAGTTGGGACACTGACAGGTCTGTGAACCATTTCTGTAGCACCAGCTCATCGGCATTTTTTAGCACCCACAGCAGACAGATCAGCAAACTGCGACTTGACTCAGCTGTGAAACTACCATGCTGACGACTCGCCTGAAGAGATGGACCAGAAGATTGGTGGAGAGAAAAAGACCACAGAGGCAGAGAATCCATAAGAACAGAAGCTGTAATGTGATGTTGAGTCGGGAAACCTTTACATTAACATAAATGTTTATCATGATCTCCCCTTGATGACATAAATTACCTGTGAGTTGAGCAAGAAACTACTTGGTCGGGACATTGGAGATGCAGTGGCGGTACCCGCTATTGCCATGGCAACAGTCTGACTTATCAAACTGTTGCCCTCTCCCTCTACCTCTTCTCCACCACTGCCTACTGCTGCTGCCTGGGGCCCACCGGGTCGACCCCACTGGTTATGGGAATCTAGTAACAAAAAAAAAGCAAAAAGCCTCATGAAGCAAGCAAACGAAGAGTATTTTTTTATATTTTATTGTGTGTATTAGGAGCTAGACATGTTACAAGAACATAATAGATGAAGATCTTGAATGATTTTACTTAAAAGAAAACCAGGGTAGACATGCTAATAAGCATAAGCAGCTGAACAGAGCAAAAAAAAAAACTGAAAAGAGATAAAAATGGACTGAGGTTAGAGGTTAGCTGGTACATTAGGTTAGGCAATGTTCTTTGAAGCTCAACTGATAACCTCTCAGGTTACTGGGGATGATGCTATTTAAAGGTACAAATATAATTCCACAGGGGTCTTTGATGCAGCAGTTAAATCTTTGCTGTTTCACCAGTCCTTTTCAATTCTATGCTAAATAAGGAATCTTTACGGGGTAGACTACCTATGGTAAAAGGAAAGTGCCCAATCATTACCTGTAAAGTCATGGAGCTGTGGTAGTGTCTCCATGACAATGCCAATGAGAGGCAGGTAAAGCATGGCGACTCGAGCCTTCACCTCAGGGTCAGCGTAGCGTGGGTCGGAGTCATGGCTGGACAGGAGGTTGTGAACAACACTCACGACCTTCTTATGTAGCCCAAACATTCTACAGTAAAAACGAAACAATAGGAAACAGTAAAAGATTAATGAAGAAACAATGATGTACAAAACGATTTTTAAAGTTAAACTCACATTTACCGTCATTTTAACTAAATTCAATTTCTCTTGCAAACATACTAACCCCTCATTTTCCGGGTCCAGTATTATTGACAGTTCAGAGAGTACAAGCCCTGCCAGATAATGCTGCTCTCTAAATGGGACAGACAGCTCGAACATGTTTGCTATCTTTTGGTCCTGGACATGTGTCGAGAATCCAGAGCTCTGAGTGAGAAAAGAGACACATTCCAAACAAGAGACCACAATTATCATTTATTCACAAGTATTTTAACCGTCACTAAAAACAATTTGGCTTTCTGAGATATTCAGTGTAAATCTGTTTGTCAGACCTGTGAGGTTGCTGAGGACACAGAGGGAGAAGGCGAGGCAGGGGGGGTGAGAAGGCTGCAGGGCAGATTCAGAGTGACGTAGTGTTCGTGGCTGCAAACAATTCTTAGGAAATCAAGCCTTAATGACTCCAGGGTTGGGTTCTGCAAAGTGTAAAGCTTTGTGGACACCTAAAGAGAAGACATGTTTCAAACCGGTGAGTTTCATTTAAAGTTGGCACTACATGGTGTAAAAGATGAAGTCTTGGAGTACCATCGTAAACTGGTTCTCCATCTTCCTCCATGGAAAGACCATCATTGTGCATAAGTTTAACATTCAAAGGAGTTTTATGCGCTTTTCATGCCTCGAGACATCTGGATGAAACTATTCTCTCATACAAAATAAGAATTGTACCTGTTTCCAATACGCCTTGATCAGGGTGAAGACGAAGCCTCGGTCCATGACCGACAGCAAGTCATTGAGAAAGAAGGCCAGGCTGGTGTTCAGCCTCTCCACCAGCTCCAGATCCTTTAATGATAAGAAGTACAAGTAGAAAATATGCTTTAATTTGCAAAAGATAATGTCCTATAAGAAATCTGGACATAATAAAGTCATCAGACAAAAGGACGGCATACATGGGTGCTATTTACCTTCTGGAAGCGAGATACAATGTCCCCAGCAATGGTGCTGACCAGGGCTGTGATGTCATCCATGAAGCGTTCAGGGAAGCGGTTTTTCCTGGGAGACTCAAGGCGTTCGGTGAAGTAGAGGTGGTGGATAATGCTCTTCACCTGTGGTGGAACTATGTGAGCTGTTGTCATGTATACCACGTGCCAACAAAAGCACAAACTGAAACAGTGTAAGTCCTACCATGAGTTCAAAGAAAAACCAGGCCTGCTGCAGAGCCCCCTCGCGGACGCTTCCACTGCTCACCACCCACTGGAGAGCCAACTCCTCGTGGAAGAGCTGAGTAGCAAAGTAAAAATATACAAAGACCAAGAGGTGGAAAGGGGGGGTGAATAGGAAAAGAGAAGGCAATGAAGGCAGATGGAGATAATCTGACATGCCTGAAAAAGTGTGCCCCTTTATTAATGCGACATTGTCTACATGCTGCACACACTGGAACAGGAATCCAAAATGTAGTCGTCTATGGAGCTCATGGTGTTAAATAGAATTTGAACTGCCTATGGATGTCTGTTGGCATTTCACTCTAAAAAAGAAATTAATGAATGAGTTAAAATCCCTAGAGGCAGGATTCAGAGTATTTAGTACTTAACAACAACTATATTCTCTACACAAAGAACAAAGTATCCATTAATGCTCCTGCCCCAAAACACTGCAAATGAAATTCATTAAAAGCACAGAACAGTTAAGTGGTATAACACAGACTAAAATAAATAAAAACTAATCTTTAAGCTAAATGCTTTCCTATCAGGCTGTGAACTACAGTATTTTGCAGTGTTATACTTTTTTTTTCAAACATGAATGAAATTTGTTTTTGCACTTCAACAAGGATTTATCGATACTCCTGTCCTAGATATAAGTAGCTGATGTTGATCTACTTTGATGTTGATCTCAATGATAAAAAAATTTGTTAAGTTTGCAGAACCAAGATAAGAAAGGAAACAATAGCAATTCTTTTTGTGAAGTTCTTAAAAAAGAACTATTTGTTTAACGGTAAATATTAATACAAAATATCCTGACAGCTTTGGAATAAACCCCATCACTGTATACTGGCATGTTTAATGTTTCTTGTGGAATCACAGCAGCCATCTTGGGATTTCTTCTTGAATGGTTCGATATAGGTGAAGACTTCCCTGAAGACTTCCCAGACTATGCGGATACAGCTCACTGTACCCTTCAGTCAGCTTTAGCCAGACTGCAAACAACATTCAAAGTCGTTCCATAAATGGCACATCAGAGACATACAACATTCAACAAGACTAAATAACCAAATACAACATCAACCAATTCATAGGCACACATCCACAGACAGGACAGGTGAGGAGGTGAATAAAAAGGAGGGTGGTGTTGGCTCCTCCCCCAGAGCAAGTGGCTCTACCTTTTTTGTGGGTAATCGTCCTGTTAAAGTTTGCAAGAAACTGGCGCTCTCAGTGTGCGAAGACATGCGATTGCCACAGCGCTCCATGGCCTATGAGTGGGATGAATGGAACGGTGACAGCAAGGTTAGTGGAGGAGCAGCAGGAGTGTGGGGTTACTCCTCAGCACACAAGCAACTGTGCGTGCTGAGTCACACACACCCCCACGGACACATGCATAAAACATACTTTTGTGATCTGTAGCACAGACATTTCACACATGAATACGCAAAACAATAGGACACAGGACAGGGACACAACACCTTTGCGTTGTACCCGTAATCTACGACATTTGTACCTTAAATGCCCTACAGCAGGGATGCAAAGTGGCAGCACGTAGGGCAACAAAACTTACAGCCATTGCTGTACAGTGCAGTGCGCCATTCTGCATCCCTTTTGATGAATACTACATCACAGAGACATAAAAACAGCAATAAGAGAGACTACTCTAAAATGTCAAAGGAATTTCTACTGCCAGGAGGGTAATTCAGGGGTCTTTTTACGATTGTAATATTAAGTTACATTTCAGTCTTGGTTACTTGATTTGTAAATCAAAAATGAGCAAAGTCTGATGTAATGACGAATCAAAATGATAGTAGAGACAATGGGACATAAAGATCTACAGTGAGGCAAAGACCCCACATGCTGAAACACACTCACACTCACAAATAGACCATGCTCCAGTGACATGTTGAATGGGGTTAGAAGAGGCAAGCAGGTTCAACTAGTGGAAAGGAGATTAAAAACATGAAGGAAACTAGAGAGCTGATGGAAATGGAGTTCTTAACACGACTCTTTTTCTTTACTATTCCAACAATCCCCTGTGACATGTGTCCGCACAGAAAGAGGATGTCTGAATTTTATGCTTGGCGATAACTCATTTTTCTACAGTGACCCTAAGGTGGATAATAAACCAGACACAGAAGGAAATAGAGGTAAACAATGCCTGACTGTTTGTGCAAGCACTGAGAAAAAGAGAGGTGTTAAATCTGATAAGCAAAGAGGATTGATATCTAAATACATGGCACTAACATGGATACAAGTAAATCTAATCACAAGTGCACAGCCTTTTATGCATTATATTCAGACCTGACATAAGAATGTAAGTCTCTATTTGAGTCTTGAAGGACCATTTATGTTCACTTATGATCAGATTACAAACAGTGCATGTTAATGCCATGTGTGAATAAGGACTAATATGATAGGACCAGGGTCATGGAGACGGCTGTGACGCCCATGTGTGGGATCATGGGAAATTTAAGATAATACTGAAATATTCTCAAGTTTTGGTATTTTTGTCTTTGCTTTACACAAGTACACTGTGCATGGCTTGGAAATCTTTTAGTTTGGTTCTATTTTGTAAAAGCTGGTTGGAAGCCACAATCATGTGAATAAAACCAATAGAAAACACTTTGCAGTAGGCTAATATTATATAAGAAAGGTTTGAGTAAAGCCAAACATCAAAGAGAATATATTAATAAAAATTTACCAGTAACTTAGTAAAGCACCCAAATCAACCAAAACACCACATATTCCAGTATCCCTTCAGTGTGAAAAAGGTTGCTTTTGAAGTGAAGTAAAGTGGAGGACGGGGCATTCATAAAACCACCTGCATGGTTTCTGGAGCGGACCCAGGGCTGGATCCCCAGGGGGCACTACACCCCATGGTGTTCACCCACGAGTTGGAGCGGTCTAAGCCCTAGGGGTGCCAAGGTCAAAGGACACGAGGCAGGCAGGAAGCAAGGGAACAAGCGAGCAGCACGGGGGAAGGAGGAGGGAAGGAATAATGACAAGTTAAAGAGGTTCAGAGGTTATGATGCTGGAAGAAGCCAAGGCCCTTAAAAGGTTAACTATCATTAAATCCAAATCAGCACCACAGAAGACTAACTCACACAGCTTCTCTCTCCCTTTGTCACTGTGATTAAAAATAACTTCCCCTCCCACTGAGACCAGAAAAGAGGGGTTTGGCGGAGCATTAGCAGCAAAGGGAGCATTCATTAAAACGGGGCAGCATCCATCATATCACGATTCAAGTACAGCAAGATCATTAGAAAGGCACATTACATCATTCACTCATTGCTGATGTGTTTTCTGAGAGAAAGTAAAAAATGTCTTAGAAGAAATACAAAAAAAAAAATCATGTAGGACAAACTACATGACAACAAATAAATGGAACAGAATAAAAAGGAACAAAGAAAAATCGATAAAGACTGGCAGGATGCATTTAATGCCTTTAAAAAGTTGTGACTTCCCTTGACTGGACTCCTTTACTGTCAAACTGAAAAGTAAATGCAATGTATGCTTTTCACAACCTGCACACACTCGGCATTGTTTGTACATGTGTTTCTGAATGGCGGGTTGATGTTACAGCGGTTAGAGAGATAAGATGTCCAAGCCTATGTTTACGCACTCGCTATACAGTTTACATGCTGATAAAAACTCCACTGGGTCACCGTGCACATGGAAGCTACCACATTATGTAGGTTAAGAAATATTAGGTCTGTTTAACTACTTAACCTATGTCTGACTGAAATACTTCAAAAATCAATAAATCTAAAGCAATGTTAAATAATTAACTTTTATATCTATAATCCACATGTGCTTTGGACAAGATGAAAGGTGATTAGGGTTAAGTACCCAAAAACATATCTGCAGAGGTAGCTCTGTCCACATCGGCTGGGATAGTGCCTCTTTCATGTTTTTTTTTTCTTCGTTTTTGTTCAAATTTGCTCAAACAACATTACAGAAAGACAAATTACAGGTTCTTTGATGGCCTTACCTTACTGCCGATTATGGAGCGAACTTCATCGTCAGGAGATGTGGGCGTACCAGATATATCAGGGTTGCTGTTGCTAAGGCTACGAGAGCGGTTAAGGTTGAGGCTGGCTGGTCGCACAGCTGAGCGAGCCATGGTGGCATAGTGAACCGAACCTCCCAACCCTCCAGGACCTGGTACAATACACAAAGGAAGTAAAGTCCGTGTGTCAAATGGCTTGTGAAAGGAGGTGCCACAGTATATGGTGGGGACAAACAACTAAGGAGGAACTCATAAATATAACTACCGGTATTTACTAATGATAATAGCATAAAGAAATCACTGTACATTGGTAATCGATGATTTAGGAGCTAATGAAAACTATCCTGAGTCAACAGTCACACATGAAATATAGGCAAAACTTTAATTCACATTCAAAGCATAAAGAAGTGGCACACAGACTGAAATATACACCAGTGGACGTATCTACCTGTCAGGGATGAGTTGGGATCTGTGTTGAACAGGCAGAAGACAAAATGGATGTGTGAGGAAAAGGGGGGGGAAATAAATAAAAAAATAAAAAAAATAAAAAAAAAAAAAAAATAAAAAAATAAATAAAAAAATAAAAAATAAGAAAATATAAAAGTTATGGCAGGCTGGTTTAGTCACAGTCGAGCAGCGAGGACGAAATGGGCAGGGGATGAAGTTAACTTAAAAGGAGAGCAAACGAACAGCAATAAAAAAGAACAGGTTAACATTAACCCCACTGAGTGTAAAATACCTGGTGATGGTGAGTTGGGATCAGTGCTGGGCAGCCGGAACACATAGTGGATGTAGGAGGACAGCAGGCTGTTGCGGCCATGCATGTCCTGGCTGGTGTCCAAGTACTTATGAAGCCGGTTCACTATGGAAGTCATGACTTCGAAGGATGCTTGACCTAGATTCACTATACACATACACATAATAATATTCTGTGTTAGTGCTGTGTGAACAAATCCGCCAGACTCTAAAACGTCAGCCACAGTAAATGCATTGAGCTAAAGACTTTGTATTGCAAGGGTCAGTGAAATTCACAGCAGCTCAATGTATCATAATCAATATCTTTTTGGGACTTTTAATTAGTAGAGTCCAGAATCATACCGATCTGTCCAGCAATGACTGGTGGACGAACTACGAGCAGCACCAACTTGTCAAGTAAAAGATGAAGGAATCGAACTACTGGCTCCAGCTGAGATGAGTTGAGCGCCGCAATGCTGGACTTGAGCTCAGCCTCAAGGTTGTTTTCCATGATGCGCATGTCACCTATCCTGACTGGGAACATGTGCTCATCCAGAGCGTGTACCAATGCAAAGAACTTATCCAGAAATTGGTCCTATAGAGAGACATTGGGAGGGATAGTGTTGAAAAGAAAAAGCATGAATTAAACATTCAAAGGTTCATAATATAACACAGAAAATGTAAACCGAAAAAAAGGTGGGAAACCATAAAGGAAAAGAAATTGAGAGTATCACAACAAAGGTGGAGAACAATAAAGTAAATAATAAGAATGAACCAAATTTATAGAAAATCTAAACAAGTTACAGTTACAAATGTTAACAAAAAGAGGAAAATGTAAAGAAGCAAAGGAAATCTTAAGATATTCTCCTTCGTACTCTTAGACTCAGAGAAAGTACTGCAAGAGGAAAACTACCACAAAAACACAAGAGAATCCAGCCAATCTAATCTGTGCCAGGTACAGTGATTTATGAGCACATTAGTCTCAGTGAGGCTCCTAGGAACCACAGTCAAGTCCTCCATACCACAGCCAATACAGAGATGGAGTAGACCTCAGTAAATTACGGGCACCCACTAATGAACTGCTGTTGGTAAGGAATTAATGTCTAAATCTGAAAAAACAGGGTGGCTGTTAAATTTAATTTAAATTCCAAATCATTACCCATGTAATAATTATGAGAATATTATCCTAAACACACACAGAGACATATCTATGTATAGAAAGATAAGCTGGAAGAAACAATGATGCAGATGTGACACTGACAAATTGGTACACAAAGGAACACTACCTGTGTGTGGATGGCTGAAACAGCCACCACCTCCACATTGAATACACCTCGATGGTTGTCTACCCACTTCATTCCTGGCAGAGGAACCTGAAATACAAAAACAGCAAACTAAATTGAAACCAAATGACCAAGGAAAGAAATCTGCTCTGGAAACAAATAAACAAATTAATGATCCTATGTTTTTTTAAGATACTGGGAAGAACACAATGAAAAATGTCATATCTCAATTTATATTCAAAGAAATCATCTGCATGCTCAATGAATAGTTTCTTACGTCTGGGGAGAGAACAGAGTATGACTGTGGTGGTTTCTCAAGAGAGACGGGTAGACAGAAGTGTCCCGTTCGCAAACGTCCATTCTGTAACATGGGTATCCACTAGAGAAGGAGGATGACATAAAAAACAAAGTTTCCTTTGATGTGTATGTATATTTATAGTGGTGTATGGTGTGTGGGTATGAACATATAAACTGTCAGAATACACAGTTATCATGTAGTACGATGCCAATTACCGTGTATCCCACAGGGGTCTCCAGTGGCGTGTTCTGCTTCTGCTGGCAGCTGATGTGGTAAAAGGTGAAAAGAATGTGGTGGTGGTCTGACAGAGAGGCCGGAAGCTTGATCTTTATCTCATCATGAAAGTCAGGGGATCTGAAAAAGATTATCACAGCAATGGAAAATCGGTTCCAAAATACAAAACAGTGGGACGGACTGAGAATGGATTTAAATTTAAATATTTTCATTTCCGTACCACCTGATTCCATTAATAAATCCTCTGATTTGCAATGCCTGCCATAGTTCTAAATTTCTATTATAGTTCTTTTTTTTCGGTTGTCCTCTTCCTCGTGGAACACAGACTGACTATATCAAACATTGATAATCACCCCACTTAATATGTAGATTATTCACCAGGACAGATAGCTGCATTCTTTATGGATGTTCCTGATTAGGGAAAGGCTGATTGGACTGTTACCTGCAGCCTGCTGAGTCAAAAGCAATTTATTTATACACATAACTAAGCCTTTGGTAATCATCAGACAGGTGTGTAGTGCAGGGCAATAGCTCAACACTGACTTTACCAACTCTTAACTGGTTTACATTACATTCTGTATTATGCTACAGCAAAGGTTTGGCACACGTCTCGGTTTGGTTTTCTTCCTGAAGTCCAGCAATGTTTTTTGAAAGAGCAAAGTGGCTCATAAATCCAACAGATCCATGTAACAGCAGCCCATAAAGTACATTTGTGAATATCAAGAGAATTCTTAAAGTGTTCCATTTCTATTAATTTGTTAGAAAATTCAAACTGCAATCTTTGCTTGACAGCACTGCAGCAGTTTATGGTGGCAGCTACAGTTATTGTAATCTAAAAAGAAATAAATTACATAACATCATAATTTACCCAAGCTGCATTCTTTAAGGTCCCAACAGAGACAACTTTCTCAGCAGGCCCTGGCTCAGAACAGGCAACCCGCAACTCCAGAAAGCCAACAAACGGATCCACTAGGATTAGCTCCAGGATTGAAACAACCCAAACTGTTTAAAGGGGTCACTGGAGGCCTCTCATTTCTCATGGGAACAATTATTTTATTCCGGACCAGAAAAGGAAAAAATCTTAGAGAAAGAATACTTTTCTTGCAGAGAAAAAAAATAACTCGGGTGTTGGTTTGTCATATAACACAAAATACATTTTCAAGAAGAAGCTAAATGCTGGAAGCTTTTTGAAATTATAAATCATTTTACGGAAGAGTATAACTTGTAACATTTAACTTCAGGAACTTCGACTTCTTCTTGTTCTTCTTCTGCGTTTTGAAAGATTGTCTTAATCACAGTGGTTAACCACAAGGGGAGAACTTTTAAAGACCACAGGAACAATATCCAGTATCATTATTTTATCTTTAATCACTGGAGACATTTTTAGGGACTCTTTCATTGCTATATCTACTTTGTTTCTTAATAGAAGCCATCTATCTATGTCACAGTGCAAACATGCATCCTGGATGAACCTGGTTCGAATTTATTGAGTCGCAGTAGTCCATTGTGTCCGGAGCAATACCCCGGTTACCTATTTAGGTGACCAAAATCGCATTGATTTCTAGAGGAGACAGCACTTTTTGTAGAATTAACAGTGGTTAAGGCAAAGACGTATCATTTAATGAGAACCTCCCATCCATCATGTTTAGAGCTTCATGTTTCTGATCGTCAGACAGTTGCTGAAATGAGTAACATAACAGAAACTGAATGTGCTGCTGGGCATGACAAAGTCAACACAGACAATCAATGGAGCACAGGCAGTATAGCTAATGTATTTTCCGGGCTTTTCTCTAAAGAGTGGTACTGAGTGCAAACTGAAGAGTTTCACCGAGTTTCAAAATGATGCATTATGTGTATACATTTATGCATTTAGCAGACACTTTTATCCAAAGCGACTTACAAAAATAGTGTTTAACATTCAACTACAACACCAGTTACATACTTACTCACTCTAAAAATCCAAATACACTCACCTGTTATGGTACACCACTGCTGTGTAGGCTTCTTTATAGAAATCCGCGCAGCTCGACTTCCCAAATATAACCTAAAGAACAAAAGCAAACATCTTACAATGTTTCGAATATATGTGAAAATTACCCATAAATATATATCCCCACATTTATCAATGATTCACCGGAGCTTACAGGATAATGAAACCTGTCATCTACAGTAAATGCAATAACTGTCATGAAACATGTACAATGTCTAGATTTTATGACAACTGAAAATACTACAGTAAAAGTAACACAGTAACTTGACTGAGAAGACGATCTTTTAGAAACAGGCATACCGGCATTGCGTTGTTTGGATCCTCCCCGTTCATGAATTGCACTTTCACTGTGATGTTGCGGGCAGAACCTTGACGGTTGGCAAAGTTAAGACTCTGAGGGTTCACATACAGTAGATTCCTGAAATGTAGAAGAAAATCCAACAATTCAGAGGATATGTCATTTTGTACCAAAGAACATTTTTTATTGCAAAAGAAAAACATCATCTCGACTGCTGATACATTAACTTTCTTCCCAAAGGAGGGATTTGTGAAATTGGTACAGGTTTTTAGGTTTTGTATTAGCGTAAGAGGTCCTTTTAAACAAAAAACAGAGAACAAACCTGAGAATCCCAAAGAAAGGGATTACACAAATCTATGTGCTATAATTCAGTACTAAAAACAGTTTGAACAAGCAGTACATTTTAAATAAACTATGTGTTATAATGCCCTCTATTTATCATCCCTCTCTCCCTGTTGTCTCATTATTGTTTCATTTAATTATTTCAAAGGGTGTTTTTGGTCCACAGTTGCTCTACTGTTGCTCACAGCAAGTCTACATATCAAATCATTTGAACCAGGTTTAATGAGCTTCACCATGATACCATGACAACTAAACCGAGCCTCTTTGAGAATATGCAAACTAGTTACCTAACAAAGTTACATCAGATTCCAAGAACTGATCAATTTGAGGGAGGGAAAGGCCCCCTTGTTAGGTAACCCATATTCTGATTGGTTAATACAGGAGGCTTGGTCTGCCAATAAACTACTATATGTATATGAACATTCTGACTTTAAAGTGACAGGTTATAATAATGAGAACTTCAAACATCTATACTTTTACAGAACAAGAAACTAAAAGACTTAGATACCCTTCTAAAGTACAGTAATAGTATGTGTATGCAGTGCATTTGCTATACTTATCTATCAATATTCTTTATATTGTCAAGCTTTCTTTTAGAATAAGTAGTGAATGATGGACCCTCTAATTTCTTATCTTGACAAAAAAAGAAAATAGTTTCAGCTATAAGTGATACTTTCAGAAGGAGGAGGCGGTCACAGAATAGGATGAATAAAATAGGTTGGGATCAGCTGACAAACCACAGTGACGTAGCTGATTCTGTGGGGGATTGATCCGCAGAGACAACAGCTGAGACCACAACATAGAGGGAAGCGTGGGAATATTTGACTGATGATTAGAGTTTTACTTTTTTTTCTGGTCTATCAACTTGTATCAAACATGCCCTTAAAACTTTAGCGGCTCCTTTGAAGTATACAGTTGAACTGAAATAGTCCCCCAGAAATATCTACTTCAGTGTTTGAATTATACAACAAGAAGCTGTGATTGGTCAGTCCATTTCGTCCGACTAAAGTCAGGTTAATCAGTAGACATGAGAAAGCAAACGGAAGACTGAAAACTCTCCATTGCACCTGCAGACAGCAGAGCTGCAGCTTTGCTATGAGGCTAAATATGAGGCTAAATGAAAAGGAAAGTGGTAAATGTTTAGTAATGAAGATGCTTACCACCTCAGCAATAATTGAAATGAAGTTACCAGCTTTTAACTCATAAAAAAACATTTCTTGCACACTGTGGAGTAATTTTCTCAAATTCTTCTCTGTTCCGTAAATGTGAAAGTGCAGATTTATTATTTAGTCGAACTTCCACTAGCTTCATGAACTTGTAAAGCATGATATTAGGTCACTGTGAGTCACCTAATGTAAAGTACCAATGGTACACTGATTGTTTAATTTTGTTTACTACACCTTTTCATTAGTTTAGTCAGACACTTCTCTCAGGGAGGAAAGTTATGTAAACCACACAGTTAATTCTCTATCGAGTGTCTGGCAGCAGTACACAAATAGCATACATAGCATGACAAACATAAAAGATGACAACATTAAACAATAAAATTATGATGTTTAGTACATACTGCCCAAACTCTCCACTATCGTTTATTCCTAGTAGCTCAGCCCGGACACAGATGACAGGCTCCCCCTGAACCCCCACCCCCCCACAAACGAGAAGAGGAGTGGAGAGAGAGCAATGGAGAAGGAGAGGGACTGTTTTGGCTGATTCAGCGGGATGCTAAATCAAACCTTGGAGCATTAATTACAAACAGCATTATCAATCAGAGCCAAGTGTGCGAAGAGTTATACGCTTTGAGATTGATTAGACTGACGATCCATCAAAAACTGTGATGGCCATTGTTGGCTTTCTGCTGATCAGCTAAAGTGCTGCACCACAGATGTAGAGCAGAGCAGGGTAGGGTAGGGTGTGGTATGGACAGGGGATTGGGGTTAAATGGTTAGTAGAGAAAGGGGGGGTGCATATGTCATTTGCACACTGCTGTGATTTGTTTGTTCAAGAGAGGGAGGGCCTGGGGGGGAGGATTTGGGAGGAAATGGGATACAAAGCTAAAAACATAGTTGGGTTTAATGATCAGCTAATCCCTCCCCTCCTCTACTGAGAGGGCAGTATATAACACAGGGCAGTCTGCTGTGCTCACATCATTTTAACAGTAAGGGAGACAGGCTCTTGAGCAGAGGGGGAAGAGGTTTGTTCAGCCCAAAGGAGAGTAAAGTAGCACTGCTAGAAAAAGTTCCATAGTTAAAGGTTGGAGAAGACGCTCATGATTAAACTGTTTTACGTCCTGCTGGTGCTCGCCAGCTTTACTGCTGCTGTCCATATGGACACCTCAGGCAAACAAGACCATCCCACCACGCCTCCCGACGCCCTCACCACACCACCGAACCCAACGGAGGCAAAGTCTCGCTTTGCCATGCTGGATGACGTTCGCTTACTCGCAAACGGCCTCCTCCAGCTTGGCCAGAGTTTGAGGGAGTTCGTCCACAAAACCAAAGGCCAAATTAACGACATTTTCCATAAGCTCAACATTTTCGATCGCTCGTTTTACCAGCTTTCCGTGGTGACATCAGAGATCAAGGAAGAAGAAGAAGAACTCAAGAAGACCACCAACATCTTGAAGGCCAATAATGAGGAGATCAGGAACCTTTCAATGGAAATAAACTCAAAGATCAACAGCATCCTGCAGGAGCGTACGCAACTGCAGAGCAAAGTAGGGAGCCTGGAGGAGAGGCTGAAAGGACTGTCACAGAGCATGATCCCAGCTGAGCAGCTCGGTGAAATCACAACACTAAAGGTGAGAAACATGCGATGAAGTTACTGCTGCACCAGAGCTTTCCCTAAAAGTGATTTCACAGTTGACATGCATGTAAAGAACTGACTTTCTTTGCACACAACCAACAAACAGGTTACTTTAACCGTTTAAGTATAATTTGAAGAAATAAAATACTGTCTGTAGTACTTTATATAGCCAAAAAGCACGACAGTATTTCTTTTAATTATTGGTTAACAATCTACATTTAACTTAATATTGCATTACTAATTCTAACTGATCTTGCGCTTTATCTAAAAACATGTACATTTTTTGTTGTTAAAAAAATATTCCTTTATTTTTTTCTAGGAAGTGATTGAAACTCAAGAGAAAACAATCAACAATCTTCTGAAAGCTGTGAGGGAGCAGCACGACCAGCTAGACCATCAGAAAGTCAAGATAAAAAATCTGGAGGAAAAGGTAGCTGTCCAGATTAGGATTGACCTTTACAGGTCAAACATCTCACATCTGTGAGGGTTTGATTCAGCTGTTTGCTTTTCCTATGAATTCTAGCTCTTAAAAGGATAGAAAACATAATTTAACAAGGAATATGTACATTCTCCTGCAGCTGACCTATGACAGCTTTCAAGATACTGCCGATAAGTCAGCAGATTCCAACGATCCGGCGGCTGATATGTTTGAGTATCTGACCGGGAACTCAACTGAAACTAATGGTAAAATGCGCAACTGGCACTTAAATGTTTAATTTGATGTTGAAACAGTGAAATCAGGTGAGAGTGTCACTAAGGATGTGTATGCTGTTTTTCATTTTTCTTCATTTGTGTTTCAGACCTCGCTGCAGACTGCAGTGAGTTGTTTAGCAAAGGAGCAGCGAGCAGTGGAATCTATGTGATCAAACCCAACCAATCAGAGCCGTTCAACGTTTACTGCCAAATGGATGCAGGTGAGTGAGACTTCAAACTATCCCTGTTTTCAATCAAAACATCGAAGCAGCAATTCTGACTTCTGAAGAAAAGAATAACAAAAAGCTGTTTAAGCAGGAAAAGACATGGACAGTGATAGATAATCCATAGGGGTAAACAAAAGGACGGATGATATTATCAATATCAAGGAGACTTTGCGATCCTTGAGTTCACTTTAGTGGGTTTGTACAAGCGTTACCTAACTAAAGTGCAATTCTTGTTTCTTAAACAGATGGAGGTACAACTGTCATCCAACGCAGAGCTGATGGGTCAGTGAATTTTGACGAGACATGGGAAAACTACGAAAAAGGTTTTGGAGATCTGGAGAGTAAGTGCGTCCAGTGTATTCAGTAAATAATTTAACACAGACACAAAGTCCTGAAGTGTGTTAAAGAAATATGTGAGCTGCATTGGTGTGCCAAAATTATGTTTTTCTCTCCAGATACTGATTATTTTTCGATCTACCAGTCAAGTACTCTTCTTTATTAGAAGGCTGTGGATTTAAAAATGCTTCTCTTTTTATCCACAGCCGCAGGGAATAGCAACTGTTAAATATCAATAATGAGCTGGCAAAGTGACTTCCAGCATTATCCAAGTACAAAGCCAGTTTGGCAGCTTTCCCTGCTGTGCTCGATAAGTTATGCAGATCTTTTTAAAAAGCCCTGTGCCTCTGACCTTTATCCAGACACATTTCTACTGCTGTCTAGCAACTGCATGAATAAAAAATACGTATATGATACTGCAGCAGTTGACAGATGGAGTATGCAGGGGGTGAATTAGTGATTTTACTGGGATTCCTAGATAGGCAGATGGGCTTACTAAACATTTTACCTTCAAAGGAAATTATTTTATTTTATCAATTTTCTAAAAAGGATTAATTGATTGACTGATGTGTCATGCAGGGGAATTCTGGCTGGGCCTAAAGAAGATACACAGCCTTACACAGGAGGGGGCTCACATCCTCCGTATTGATGTGGAAGACTGGAAAGATGAAAATCATTGGATTGAGTACAGATTTTCTATGGAAGGACCCTCCAGTGACTACACACTTCATGTCAGCAATTTCTCAGGAAACCTCCCAGATGCGATGACTAACCTCACGGGCATGAGGTTTTCCACTAAAGACAGGAATAGCAGTAACCAACCGAACTCCAGCTGTGCTCGCACTAACACAGGTACAGAATCCCAACCAGGATGTGACAATAATCAGCTGCAGATGCCTTTATTATTCATACAACAATGATTCAATTAAATAATCAGAAGGAAAGATCATTTAGTTAGGAATGATTTGTGTTGGTGACCTGTTTTTTTCTGTTTTGACAGGTGGTTGGTGGGTCAGTGCCTGTGGTGAAACAAACTTAAATGGAAGGTACTTGTGGTTAAGGGCAAAGGGACGCTCTATGAGGAGGAAGGGCATTCACTGGAAGCCTGGCACAGGGTCCTCGTACTCCTTTAAGACGACCAAAATCACCTTACGACCAGTGCCAGCTTCAGATGGGGCCAACTGAGAGCCAGAGTTCTCAAATTCTCATATAGTTGCATTGTTAGTTTTTCATATATATTGAGTTATTATGCCTAAATGAAACAAGTCTGAATGGAAAAGCGTCTGCATAACAAAACTTAGATATGTCTACCACACTAAACTCCAAAGTTCGTCTGTAGCAAAAGCCTCCCTGTTTCCTAACATTTTGTCAGAAGGCGAGCCAAAAATGTCATAAATCAGTCACCTGTTGCAATAATGCCAGTCTGACATGCAGGTTGTTAACCTACTGAGTCTCATCCAACAAGGACAAAAGAAGCGTTATTATGCAACGCCTGCAATCACTTGCAAAATGGACATATTGATCTACATCAGCAACCCAATGTCAAGCTGGTAGAGAAATATCAGCACTGCAGTAAAACCGTCAAACACAATACGAGGATTCTGCAATCTCAAGGCTTGATGAAAAGATCACGTCACATAGCCATTTTTAAGGTGTATTTTTCCCCCTGTTGTATTGCTTGTTCCCTGAAGCTACAGGCACAAAAACTTAAATAATATATAGTGCATGTAAATTATATACATAAAAAGGCTAAGAAGTAACCCACAGTTTCAGCTGGAAAAGTTTCCATATTGGTTAAGGTCTTTCTTTCTTTCTTTCTTTCTTTCTTTCTTTCTTTCTTTCTTTCTTTCTTTCTTTCTTTCTTTCTTTCACTCTTTCTTTCTTTCTTATTCTTTTATAATGCTTTCTTAGAAAAAAGAAAAAGTGGGTACAGAACCAGCAGCTGAGTTGTCAACAAAATATTGCTGATGTAACACTTTGCCAGTGCACTGATGTAGTATTTTACTTTGTCTGTTCCTTTTTTATTCTGTAAAGTATTTAAAACATTTTCATGGTATTACATAATATGTTGGTATTGTTAGATAACATCATGTCCGTATATTTCCTATGTTATTGAGTCATATTGATTCTTGTCGTCACAACACACATCAACTTGTTCTGTAACTGTTTCTCACAGTCATCCTTACAATAAGCATTGTATGCTAACAAACCATATTTATGTGGACAAATAAATGCATAAAAAATAAATAAAGGTTCCAAAATAATTTCCCAATATGGTCGTATTATGTTTTTTCCAACCAAATGAAAAAAGGTAAAGGAAGTTATGTACGGACAATGTGAAAAAAACTTTCTTACACAGGGTTTCGGTCTGCTAATGAATTTAAATGGTAATTTACATTACCTGGAATATAATCAACGGAATATGGAAAACAATTTGCTTTAAAATTAGGAACTGAAAACTTAAACCTGAATGCAACCCCAAGACAAATAAATAAATCGTTCTTTCCCAACAAAGATCATTTTCAGTGAAGAAAAAAAGCGTTTTCAATTTCAACCAACGGTAAAAATCCCACTCATGGTTTACCGTTTATATTACAATACTACAACATGAGGGATCGTGTTTGTTTTGTAGAAGTTTTTGTTGCTGCAGCTTTTAATGGATAAATGAGTCGAATGCTGTGTAAAGCACAATGAACACAGACTCAAAATGCTTATATTCCCAGAGTAAAGAAACAAGTTGTTTATTTGAGAATACCTCTTTAGAAATTAATTATAAATTAATTCAACATCAACAAATTACACAAAGGAACACAGATATGCAACAAAAGACTTCATAAAGGACTATTTTAGCCACACAGGTAATGACCCGTTTCAAATTATCATAAATATTTTTTAAGGTAGTTAACAGGTTATTACCATAACTAACAATAGTTACATGTAATCTATTCATAGCCAACCTTGGGATTACATGAGATGCTCAGTTATGGCTGTCATTAGTTAAATTAATACGACGTTAATGTCAGAAAATGTCTGAGGTGGTCAAGCCCTGTCAGAAACTTTCATGTAATATATATCTCTCTGAATGGTCTTGACGAAAATAGCTCTTATTCACGAGGACGTTAGCACTAAGTACACAGATCATATCATTTCCATGTGTACAGTTCTCTGGCAGACATGAAAACGTCAATAATGAGCCAGTGTCTGCCTTTGGTCTGTATGGCCCTGAATTTGGGGTTGTTAGGACTTGAATTGAGGTTTTGTCTCTCCGTGTAAAGTATGAATGAGTTACCTCAGGACAAATAAGAGAAGAAAATGATCCACATCTGAAATGTTTACTGTACCTGTATGTGGTGTTTGGCACGTACACATCCCTGGCAGGAAATTCCAGGATCTCTCTGGTGGGGCGCACTCTGCTGTCTGGGTAAGGTTTAACCTGCAGAAGGTCAGGAGTCAAACAATAGTGGGGATTCTCTGGAGCAGGGGAAATGTCCAGCTTCAACTGGGCTGTGATGGCAAAAGGTGAAGGAAAAGACGGGGAAATTAAGAAACAAGAAGCGGGAAAATTATTATGAAAGAAAATGTAGTTTTATGCCTCATTATTAGCATGATCTGCAAAGAAATCAAGGCAAATTTGCTCTGTCAGCATATTCACCTGTGATGGGTCTGAGTCTCCTTAACACTGAAGATGGCCTTCTCATATCAGCTAGAAACTTATATAAATCCTCGTCACTCAGCCTATCCCCTTCCTAAAAAATGCAAAGCATGAACACAATTCTGAAACAGATAAGGGACAGCACAACACTTTAATAGACTGTGAATGTACATAAACACGTGCACACCTGTTTGAAGAAGTTGGTGATAGTTAGTGTTGCAGGTCTGAAACCTGTCAGACTGCAAGACTCATCTCCACTGGTGGTCCTCTCCAGAGACCGCCTTCCCATGATGCTCGAGTTCCTCCGCTCTGACCATGAGCCTTTTCTCTCTGCACACAGACAATAAAAAGTCATTCAACGGCTAAAAGTCACAGATTTTTTTTCTACTCTGCTTAGCAACAGTCAGTTTCAAAGAAACCTTATGAGGTCAAAAGCTAGACAAACAACAAAGGTCAAACACAAAATTACACACTAAGGATCAATATAGTTGTTTGCTGTGTTTAAATGTTTTTTTCCTCACTTTTTGTTGTTGGGAAGTTTTTCAGATAGACTTGTCATGTATTGACAGGCCCATGAGTCTCATGCGTGACTACAAGGTTTAGCAACGCTCTTTGACTCTTGATAACAATTTGTGACACTTTGACTGTATTTGGGATTTTTTTTAAACTCCCCACTGTGACTACAAACAACTTCAAACTAAAATCTATAATCCTTTATTTACATTTAATGTCTAACATTTGGTATTTAAAAAAATGGTCAGACCTGAGAGGCTCATCTCCAGCTCCGTATCTCTCTCAAGACTGCCAGCACTGTTTACAATGTTCATTAAATGGATGGCGGTCCATGCAAAGGGCATCCGGTAGCGGCCCAAACGCTGGCAGAACTGCTCCGACTGACCGCGAAGCTTCTCCAGCTTCTCTTTGTTCTGTTAAAAAACAAGACATCTTACAACATACACATATTACAACCCTTTTTTTGTTGTTTACAGCCTGTATTAACATTTATAGAATCGGTTTGGGAAACGCCTTTGTGACATTCAAGACATAACTCTGATCATACCTTGGCAGCATCTGACTCCTTGAAGACCATATATGGCTCTGCACACTCTCCTATGTCACCTTGCTGCAGAACCTTTTCCAGCTGATGACAGAGGACACACTAGTTCTCAGTATCTTTGTTCATTAATTTTCAACATTTCAAATTTAAATATGAACAATGGAAGTAGAATTTTACTTAGAGATTTTACTCATAGAATTTACTATTTTCTCTTAATAAGAGGGTATAAAATATTACAAAAGGGAGTTTTCATTTCATAATGTCTTAAGTGCATATTCAGACTAGAGACTGATCATTTGTTGAGTTACATTAGGCTCTTTTAAAGGAGTTTGTTTACCTGATCATACAATCATATTCAAATCATTCATTGAACATTAATAGCACTAAATGCAACTGAATAAATACAACCCATTTATATAAGAAAAAAGAAGTGATAAGGTGGAGATTACTGTCAAACCGCCTCACCTTGATAACTAGAAAGACATCCTGGGAGGGGTAGGTGATAGAAAAGATGGCTGAACGTGCGAGTGTAGAGATGGCTGCCGTTTGTATGTGCGGACGCAACATCCCTTTTGTCTGCTCCGAATTTAAGTCAAAGAAAAAGTTTTCTGATATCTGAGGGAGACATAAAACAGAAAAATAAGCAATCATGACTTTCATCTTTGTAGACCACTAAAGTACTCATGGGACTTCAACTTCACAGATGCTATAACGGCACACTTGTAGTTCAGGAGGTTGAGCTGGTTTAACCCAATTCCAGCAATCCACATGTCAAAGCCTCTTTAGGCAAATATTTTAAACTCCTTCTTGCCCCATCTGTTACTCACTTCTAAGTCACTTTGGATAAAACTGTCAAAGTGAAGTTATGCATTAATTAATCAAAGTTTCCCACTGAATGATTATGTTGGAGCCACCTGATGTCTTGCTCACAGCTGCTGACAAACATGGTAACATCTCAGTGAGAAATGAGCCACCTGTGTCCTAATAGCGCTCCAGAGTAGTGCAATATATGTGAGAGGCCTACTTGTCAAGGCTACTGCTACCCTCTAGTGTTTGTTTCTGTAGCTGAAGAAGACAGAGGAGAAGAATCACTACATAGGCTTGCTCCGATAGAAACATGGTTCCAGTTTATGATTTAACTGCATTCCCAGAAGCATAACAGGATCAAAACATAAAATTTTATCGTCCACTCATCAATTTCGATTTGGCCTCTCGGCAATTTTAATGGTTTGCAGAAGTGACCACACAACTCAGAGCTGAGGAGACACTGAGGAAAGCATAACAGCTTACCTTTTTCTTTTCCTTGACATCATATAAGGCCAAACTAGCAAATATGGGTTCAATTTCGATCTCAAACCTTCAAGTGGGAGAGAAAAAAAGAGCGTGTCAGCAGAAAGCTGCAGTTAAATAAAAGAACTACATGGCTTTTTTCTGCAAGAGACTGTCCACCACTTACTTCAAGGACAAGCATTTGACAAGTAGCCTCTGGCCAAAGTGCTCTTTTGGTACTTCAGGCACACAGTGGCGCTCAATAGGCTCCTCCTAAACATTCACAGAAGAGCAGAAGAGAGAAGTAAATACTAGTTTTGAAGCGAAAACATGAAATACATGAGTTTGTTAGCAATGAGTCTCCCAAAAATACTTTACAAATTCTACAAGTTAGGATACAATTATTGTAGATGACCAGAAGTACCAGAAGAAGTCCAACTGTACCTCATCTAGGGCAGGGTGCAGAGCAAAGAGCTCACGATGGCGGTTGGACTTGCGCTGATCTTCGTTGTGTCGGTCAATTTCTTCATTTGGGGCACGGTCAAGGAGGTGAGGCAGGAGGGCATCGGGGAGAGAATTCTTCAAGTCAAAGATGCTGCATGCCCAGCTACCCCGTGGAGTGTCATCTATAGACATCGACCGCCGTTTCAGATCATCCTAAAAAGCAGCAAGAGTGGCACATGAAAGAGAACTTCACGCAACTGAGGAACATTAAAAAGGCACTATATTTATTCATTCAAATTCTCAAGTAGGGATCAAATAAACATTTGATACAACTGTAGGAAATAATTGACAGACAGAAGCAGGGCCAAATGGCAGGGCTGCTTGTCATCTATCCTACACCCTTCAGCTAAAGAGTACCTAAACGCTGGTACCTGGTCATCCTGGTAACTGCTGCTGTCAGGCATCTCATCAGCCTCAAACACCTGTTTGGGTAGACCTTTCTGACGTTCCTTCTGTTTGTCCAGAGTATTGGGATTAAAGCCCGTACCGAGTTTGTGGTATCTAAGGGAGCAAGAGGCCGTTTTGAACATTGTCATCATCATAAAAGTATTAATCTACCAGCAGCATGCACTCATAATTCACACATCTATTCCAACTTCTCATGAGTAAAACACTGTGATCATTGGTATTTGAAGAGAAGCCTTACTTTCTGTTGACAATGGCCCAGTCTTCTGTGTAGGATCTGACACAATCTCTGACATGAGGATCGGTGTCCCTGCAGCCACACACACAACAAAAAACATTTAACTGGGGACATGGTAAATAAAGGATATAATATCCATGGCAATGTTGGCCCACTTTTCATATCATCTATACTCTCCAGGAGGGTCTTTTAAACAACTTCTAACTCTAATATGTCCAATTCAGTTCTCAAAGATCACTCAAAGCACTTTTGGGCTACAAGCCCTACTCATAATGCTGCAGTGTTTTTTCTTAACCACGCTCATTTGGGGATTCCCTTGCCTCGACGGGTGGTCTAGGAAAGTGAGGAACCAAACCTTCAACCTGTGTGTAACTGCAAACTTGCAGCTTAAACTCAGCCACGGCGGACACCTACCCCTCCTCTGGGACAGCTTGTATCACAGTGCGACACTCCCTGGGTGTATAGATGACCTCAATGTCATCTGGGGGAAACTCGATCAGATCTCTCAAGGGCCCAGAATCAACGATGGGAGGGTGAGTGATGAGGTACTCTTCAAAGTCCACGGGCTCCACCGCCTCCGTGAGGGGAACCTGGTGGGCGGAGAAACACAGTCAGATCACACAGATGTGGAAATTATTCAGCTGTGGGAAAACGTCGCGGCACAGTTCTGATGTTTCTACTGCTTCTTTTTGGGTTTTCATTAATATCTCAATTTGGTGTTTAGTTTCAGGAAATGCTTTTGGGGACATTTTACATGTGGTTTCTGAATTTAGTGCGGTCACACACTCTTTTACTTTACACCATGGATAACAACAACAAACCTTCAACACGTGGTCATTTCTGTTCAGGGAGCTGTTTTAAGAAATGGATTTTCTCTGGTTTCAAGTTTTTTTAAAGATTCTGTGAAATAGGCATCTATAATTTGAGCAGCTCCTTCACAAAACAGCTTCATGCTGATATAAGTAACCAGATTTCCTAGAGTGCTACTTCTAACACAAGCTAATGATTTCTTTCTCCCTGAAATGAGACACAGGGGTGATGTGTTTCAGTGATGTGTTAAGTTTGTGTATGTGTTTGTATCCATCTCACTCCCTCCAGAGGAATTCAAACACAAATACCTTTCAAAGTTTAATTAACAACCAACAGCGGCCTAATTGAGAGGAAAAGGGGAAACATTTGCTGGTGTTTGGACAGAGTTTATGGAGGTAAGGGGATGCTGCATTCACTAAATAGGAAGAACTTGAGTTATTAATTGTTTGCCTTTAATTGACTAAGTCTGTGATACATTTCACCCGACATCAAATTCAACATCAATAAAGTCATATATAATGATGCACATTCAATTTGCATCTTCACTTTACACTTAGTTAAAGATAGATTCAGGCCTGCAGTCACTGCAACTACAGAAATACAAATTTTGCAGGTTTTGGGAGGCAGGCGAGAAAGATTTATGCAGTGACTAAGTTTTCCGCCAACATTTAATTACTGAGATATGTCAAGATCCTAATGTGACTGATGGTGTGTCAATCCATCTGTGGTGATTTGTGCAACTTCTAAGCTTAACTTTATTTCATTATAAAACACCATCGCACAGTTATAACACAGTGATACATAACAGTTTGAGGCTATCAGACACTGAGATGCATCTCAATGTACTGCTCAAAACCAGGACACAGGCTTTCTACTTTATGATGTCAACCTTGTTGTACCAATTAAACTCATAAAACACTTTAATGCCGTTGCATCATTTCGTAATGACGCAGTACAAGGCACACTGTACATTGAGGGAGGCAAACTACAACTGTAAGGAAGGCAAGTAGAAAGAGGCATATAAGACATGTTTTAAACAGTAGCTTGGATGGGAAGAGTCAGAGACAGAAAGTTCTGGAGAAATTAATTTACCTTAATTTCAGCTTCAGAAAGCTATTACAACTTACTGTGTTGCTTGTTGTGGTTCCAACATTAAGGTTTTTGAAGAGCTGTGGGGACCCTCCATACTGACCAGCAATCTGCTTCCTAACCTCTGCTGCCACAGTCCTGAAAATAGAAGAAAAATGCAGAGAGGAAGAGACTCAGCACAGCCAATGTCAAAGCCTTGTGCAGTTATAAATACAAAGATGTGGCAGTTTTACTTTTCTTACAGACCTCATTATGTATACATACTCTAAAAATTATTTTAAAATAAAGTTATCCAGTGAGGTCTGTAAAAACAAAGTAAGTCAATTTTACTGTATCAAGAGTGATGGGCAATAATTATTTGCATATATGTTGGTCTGACTCTGTGCTCATGGATACGATCCTGTCACAGAAATATATGTGTATGTATAAGAAAAACATTGTTATAAAAAATGCTCTGGCAACAAATAGGCCCTTAAAGTCACACCAATTACCAAAAGGCCAAAAGGCTTTGCAAACACCCCAAAAGTGAGACAATTAATACATCTTTTCATTAAATTCTCCTTGTGGCTCTCCATTCTAAACACAGTATCATCATGACTTGTTTGAAAATAGTTTTCAACCTCTGGCCATGACAACAGTTGTGGAGAGCAAAGAGTTGCTCAGTGAGGTCACTGAAAATGTAGCTACATCTATTCCATCAAACACCTTCATACAGAAATAGCTCTTATATTTACACCTCAAACTAAAACATACATGATCCAACTTGCCAACTTAATATGAGCATGATGATGAATTGGGTAGATCCGGTACTCTTAGCATTGCGTTGCTGTTACTACAGCAGAAAAGCTGAAGAGACAAACACATTCCACAGCCCTCCCCAAAGTCTCTGGCCAGATCTTTACTTAGAACTGGTCACCACACAGAGATAAATTCTTGAAGTAAACAGGCCCTACGGCTAACAATTAAAGACAGAAACTATCTCTAGAAAACCAAGCATTGACAGACAGCAGCTGAAAATCAAAATACAAGCAAATTACCATGTTATAATTAAACTTTAAGCAAGGTATCTAGCATTTAGGTCACATTATTTCCCTTAAAGTGACAGAACTTGGAAAGTGACAACAAGCTTGAGAGAAAAACTTGGAATCTATATCAGATGATCAACTGGAAGATCCAGATGCTAGAAATAATAGTTTGTCTGACAGCCAATAGCACGTACAGATAATTTGTATCCTTCTTTTTTGCCTTAACATCAGTTAACTAACAAAATATGGAGAGCAAAATTGATATCGAAACAGCGAGCATGTCAGTTACACACCCTTTGAACAAGCACATATTATTCAATATCGATGTTTAAATGAACCCTAATCACAACCTTTCATAGGGGAAATCCATTTAAAAAACAGATCTAATTAAGTTTTAGTATTTCACAGGCCCAACAAAATATTTTTTATGCAAAAAGCTTGCCATGGAATTAGGCTTCCACATACTAGTTTCAGGGCAAAATCAATGTAACAACAGATCAACACTGGCTGCTGCCATTTATTTAGGTTAACCTTTTAGCCAATAGGCTGCATGCAGTCTGCTGTCTGAATTTGTGCGGATAAAAATACACATCCCAAAAACAACTTTCATCTTTTCAGACATCCAATTGTTTTCTTTCAAAAAAGTGCAAATTTGAACAGAGTATGATTAGGTATGAGTATGAGTATGAGTATGATTAATTTTATACAAAATAATTGTTTTTCCTTTTGTTTTGAGACTGGTGATGGTGTGATAACCTGGGGTAAAGTCTTTCATTAGATTTAAAGAACAATTTATTTCTGTCATATCAATAAAACCTTCATACATTTTTCATGAAATAAATATTTCACAGATCTAAAATGAAATGAGATAATGGTAGTCATGGTTGGATAATGATAATGATAATGATCATAATCATTCCCAAAATTACAGAAATATTATTTTCCATAAGTGTTTTACACCACCATCTAGAGCTGGTTGACTAGAAGAGTTTGTGGTTCATACTAAAATTACTTTATGTGTCTGGATTTATCTTGGGTAAATTACTTTACTATTTCTTCAAACAGGTCAGAAGTGTTTTTGTGCAATTTTTTAAACATACCATACAAATCTTTGCAGAAAACAAACAATGTCTTGTATGACGAAAACATGTTCAGAAAAAAGAGATTATATCAGTGTTTTTTTGTATGCCTTTGAACAATTTTGGTTAAAAACTTACTCCATTTTACGACACTTCTACTCTAAGAGTAAATATTTGACAAAGAAGAGCTCAAACATTACATACAAAACATACAATTAACAAATGCAAAAGCAAAACAATTAGATGTACATTTGATAATCAGGGTTAGAAACAAGCTTTCTGTCATTAACACATACCATATTATTACTCAATAATTACAGAATTAACCATCTGTATGAATCAAGTTATGACCACAAATGGACTAGTTTATGTATACCACATTAATGTAATATACATGTACTTTAACACTGGGATGTTGGCATTTGACAGCCAGCACAAAGCCCTTTGTTAAGAAGATTACTTTGATCTGTCTGGGAGGCTGGGAGGAGATTACAATATCAGTGTTTGATAGCACATGAGGGATGCTTTTGTTCCAAGGCATATCTCCTCTCTTCCCAGTCTCATGTCTATTTTAAAACAGCAACAACAAAGTTCAGTCGCATCACTACCCCTGTCAGTATCTACAGTACAGTAGCCTCCCATCGTTAGCTACAGTAGGCGAGACAGCTAGCTGTGTAAAATCTGTTGCAATTTACAGTAGGAGAGCTCTTATTAGTGCGGGATATGCAAGGAAAACCAACTTATTTCTAGACAGCTCTCTTCCACGAACACAACGTCTCGTGCTTTTGTCAGCTTCCAGAGGGACATGAAAACTGCAGCTAGCGCAGTCGCTGGGTGGGTCTGAGCATCTCTGCCGTTACAGCTAACGAGGGGTTAGCTCGGAACAGGCAGGCTGTTAGGCCTCCTTCACAGGGTTCCCGCAGTGGTGGTCTAAGGGCGACCTACATAAGAGCGTTCAAGTGTTCTCTATTCGTTCGTGGAGTGCATTTCCCAGCCCCAGTTGGTTACCTGCTGATTTTTTGGGCGAAGGCGCGGCGTTCAGCCATGGCAGTGGCCGCTGATGTGCTTTAACGGAATTCCCAGGCAGGCAGGCAGCAGGCAGTCCGCTTTCCACTCACTCACTACGGCCACAGGGAAAACGGGAGAACTGGATCATTACCGTAAAATCTCTAATGCCGTGCAACAGAACACACCCAATGAAAGGTTGATGCGCGTTTAAAATGGACTATTTCAGTGTTACAATTAAGTACACAAACGCATACGAACGTACCAACACCATACTTTAAAGATATATATAATATAGAACAGGTTATTGGAAAACAAATAATCGTAAAATTAATTTAAAGTGATTTATTAGTCCAACACTTTCAGTGTGTTGCTGTTTTTTCTATCAAGGTTTAATTAACTATTACCCCTTAACCCAAAAACAAAGAAAAAAAACTATCTTATATAAAGTCTTTTTCTGGAAACATACCACATCTTGTTTGTAGTCCACCCTTGTCTACATCAACATTATGCACTGCAGCCAAGTTTAGGTAATTGGCATCTGGGACAACCCCAATACAGACTTTGCAGGTTCCTGTAAGTCATAGTTTTTAAAACAGCAGTATATCATGTTTTGATTTTATTATTAAGGAGACTTAAACTAAATATAAATGTCAGTAATAAAGGATACAAAAATTTTCAACAAATTATTTTTCTTCTGCAGGAAATGTAGTAGCCAAAATGTTTAGCATGATCCGTTTGAAATCTGGAGCTCATATCTGAGCTTGTCATTTTATATCTTGTCATGTTCTGGTTTGTTTTCCATGACTATGAACATCTACTTTAAAACAGCAAAAATTAAATTTCATTTAACAGTTTTGTCCTGAACCAACCTTGGTTGGTTTTCTTTGCTTTCACAGAGAAAAAAAGTTCAAGTGGTGTTCAAGTGGTTCCAGTGTACACTGGAATGTCTATTAACAAAAACTGAGCTTTAGTACAATACTGTTTTTTTTGTTTAGTACTTATGAACTATTTTTTCCTTTTACAATTGATCTCTGTGTTTTATCTCTCAATTAATCAATGGAAATCCCAGATTATGAAAATTAAGGAACCACTGAAAGAGTCGTTTAGGTTCAACATTTACACTGATTCAGATGTCAAAGACTTGTTTTTTTTATATCAATGACTTCACATTTTTATGGCAATTTATCTGAATCACTTAACTCTAAAGTATTTGTACAGTCCTGATATAGTTGGTTGGACATTGTTTAGATACATTTCACAGCTGAATATTTCTAATTAAAAATAAATCATAGCATCTTGATGTAAAAGTTACACCTAAGTAGGTTTGAAGTCTTATTATTACTTTTTACTCCACACTATTATCCTGGAAAGTTTATAGAATGATGGAAAGACCAAACTTGATTTAAAAAATAGGATTTTCTTTTTTCTTTTTTTAAATTTATTAAACCCCGCCCATTCGGGCGACTGTGGCAAACCATTCGAACCTCCCTCACCACTTCTTCTCGACGGAAACACCGCGAGACCGCCTGACTTGCCCACTTTACTTCCTCAAAATGTAAACAGTATTTATCGCAGAGGAATGTGAAGTTGAACGGCAGGTCATGAAAGAAACGGATTTTAAAGCATCTGAATGCCACTATGGTTCGTTTAAACTTGGATAGGGAGCAAGAATGCGTTTTTGAGCGGAAAACAGTTGGACTGAACAAGCGTTAAGGTAACCACGCTTTAACTTGAAACCGTTAATGCAATATTCTATAGTGCAGTTAAACTGCAACATGTATCTTTGTGTGTGCATTGTTCAGGTTTGTAAGCTGAGTGGGAATGGGTTCCTTCCTTCGCTGGTCCAAATGGAGAATAAAGAGAGCGACGAGGTGGAAAAATTGAAGACGAAGTTCTTGTCGGCGTGGCACAATGTGAAATACAGTAAGTCATTTACTCCACAGAGAGAAACAGACATACCCGTGCTCTATCCTCTACCCTCTACCCTCTGATTCTGCTTTTATTTTATTTTTTCACCGTCTATTTTAATCAGGAAATTAACTCAACAAGAGTGCTTTTCAACCAAAATCTAAAAACGCAGGTTGTTGAAAGTTGGACTCTGTTACTGATGTAAATAAATAAAAAAGGACATAAACATTAAACACAGGAGACAGAACACATCAAGGAGATGGAGAATCCGGTGAGACAAGAGCCTGCTGCTGTTGAGTCACTCCTTAAAATAGTCTTTTGTCATACTGTCCACACTGTTTTGTGAGAAACATTGTATCTTTTCACATTCTGTTCACTCAGATAAAAGCAACCACAAAAAGCACAATGGTTACAGTGCCTCACAAATGACAGGAAACTGAGAAAAACACTACTAATCTTGGTACTGAGCCAGCATTTTAACGGTGGATGCTTTATATTGTGTATGTCACTTAACCTTGCCCACACCTTGATCTATTGCCCGTTTGTTTATTCTGTGTTTTAGGTTGGGCTCTCAAATCAAAGACGTCATTTAGTAGAGATTCTCCTGTGCTACTTTTGGGAAAATGCTACCATTTCAAGGCTGAAGGTATGGTGTGCTTGTATCCAGTCAGACATATACAGTTACAAGTTAACTGCATGCAGAACACTCGCACCCATGACAAAGTTAGACCTACAAAGATGCACATGAGTACATGAAACATAAAAGGGACATTGTTTGAAAGATGTCAACTCCATTTTATACCTTATCATTGTTCCCGCTCTTTGCATATGTCCTCATCTAAACTTTGCAGCGGTTTAGCTCATTCGGTTAATCTTTGGAATGTTTTATGATGTGTTGTCCTCAGAGGACAGCAGTCTGAGTGAGGCCTGCTGTGATGAGGACCTTGTCATGGGGAACGTGGAGGCTTTCCGGAAGGATTTTGCATCCCGAGTGTGGCTGACGTACAGGGAGGAATTCCCCCCGCTGCCAGGCAGCACCCTGACCTCTGACTGTGGCTGGGGCTGCATGCTGCGCGCTGGACAGATGATGCTTGCACAGGCTCTTGCTCTGCACTTTCTGGGCAGAGGTGAGGCAAAGAATGGTACTGCAAGTACGCTTTGACAGAAGACTAGTGGAAATAGAGGAAACCAGATGAGACAATTGAGTTTTCGTTCACTCTTATTGTTCTGAATGTTTTTTTCTTACTTTACGATGGGTCATTTATTGATTAAAGAAGTGGGATCTTGTCTGCCTAAGAATGGACTTTTTGGTGGAAGCCCCTGGTTCGGATGCTCACTTATTCGTTTTAACATTGTAGTTCAACAAAAGGGAACACTGTTAGGTAGCATTCACTCTGCTGTCTTCTACTGAATTTTAGTCGTATGAATATGGAAATACAGCATTCTTGGATTGGAAAAATCATTTGATTAAACAGAAACTTTACATGTATTAGTTAAGTAGATGAAAGCTGGATGTAATACATTTGCATGACTCCAAATAATTTACTTATTCTCAGGCTTAATCAGAGAGTTTTATTAGGAATCAAAGACATAACAATGATTGAACTGCTCATAGCTTTGGGACATCTATCATCTTTCAAGTGCCAAGTTTTTATGGGTCCACACATTGAGACGACTGTCGGTCTAATGCGGTCATTTAGAAAACAATATCTTAAACTCGCCTTTTGTTCAATCTAGAATATGTCACACTTGAAATATTTGGGTATAAAAGGACTAATATCCTCTTTGGGATATTTATTGATCAATTTCGCTTTGATTCACTTTGAATCAAGGTCATTTATTAAATTCCTTAGACTGAACTCCTGTCTGTTTTATAGCCATGACCACTCCCATTCTTTCCTTGCCTTGAGCTCCCACCCTGTTTGTAAGACTAAGACTCAGTTAAAGTGAAATACTATGGGTACTCAAACTTATAATTGAATGGACCAATGCCTAATTTGTTGCTGAGACGGATTAAAATCGGACGTTTTAAGAGAATTTTTTTTTTTACCAATATCGAGGCCTGAATTACTTTTTTCGTTCTTGGTGCTCTAAAAGGAATCATGACAAGTTAAATGAGCAGATCCAGGAAGCCTCAGAGGGAAAGGGTTCTTTATTTATTTCTTATTTTTATTTTTATTGTTTTAATCTTGTTTTAATCATGTTCTTGAAACTGCTTTAGTACATTTTTGCTCTGTAATGCCGTAACATAGACAATTTAGAAAAAATCTGTGAGACTAGAAAGTGGAAAAATGCAAAACATTTGTACTCTACTGAAACATTATTTATTATCAATGGATTAGTTTTCTTATTGCATACATTGCAAGTATTTTTTGTTTGTTTTTTAAGTTAAACGAGGACCTTTCAGCCACATCTGACCCTGTTTACTTATCCACAGATTGGACCTGGTCAGAAGCACTGACACTGAAGCCTTTGGACACAGAGACATGGACCATGACTGCAGCCAAGCGTCTGGTGGCCTCTCTGGAGGCTTCTCTGCAAAGCTCTCCCGGGACTTCCGATAACAGACCAACCCTTCCACCCAAGGGCCAAGCTTCTGGATCGGCAGAGGAGGCAGATGCACATTTGAAGGAGCTGTACCACCGCAATCTGGTGTCCTGGTTTGGCGACAGCAGCTCAGCCCCACTAGGCCTGCACAGGCTTGTGCACTTAGGCTTGACGATGGGAAAGCAGGCAGGGGACTGGTATGGCCCAGCTGTGGTGGCACACATCCTGAAGTAAGGTTGATCTTCAGTTAACTGCATGATGTGTCTGTCATTAATTAACACTGTGCTTTATTATTGCTAACAAAACGTTGAATACAGATATTTTTAGAGGTGCATCATTATTGCCACCAAGCAAAACCCCTAAAATTAACTTGATGAAACTGGTTTGAATTTGTTCTCTAACGATGTCTTTATTTTATTTTTTCAAACAGTTGCTTATGATAATCTGTAAGCTTGTTGAATAGCTAAAATAATATATATATATATATATATATATATATACATATATAAATATGCTCTTCAGGTTGTTTTTATTATATGAAGCCTAAAGCTTATAGGAAAGTGTTTTGAAACACAACAATCTGACAATCAACATTTTTGAAAAATAATTTTAATGCTCAGTTCATGATGAAGTTATACAGCTATTTCTAGCCTTTATATCTTTTTAGCATAACTCCCAGATGTTAACTTGATGGTCTTCATTCTTTCTCTCTCTCCTTACCCACTTCTTTTTGTGTCCTTTTCCCCTCTCTTTCTCTTAGGAAAGCTGTCGAGGAAGCGATGGACCCTGCCTTGGCGGGTATAACTGCTTATGTCTCCCAGGACTGCACAGGTATGAAAGATGAGCCTGTTGTTAAAAACAGGAAACTGGGCACAGCGCCCAAGCAGACCCTTCTTCTTTCCACTGTCCCTCTGTGCTTGTGAGTCTGGAGATGCTTAAGGTGGTGACAGAAGTCTCACTGTGTCTGTTCCCCAGCAAATACATCCATTTCAAATCTATAACCTCCCAGTCTGACCTCCTCTTAACCTCGATATCATAGGTGTTATTTCTGTTTGTCTTTTCAATAGCAGAAAATAGCTCTTTGTGTGAGTGACGGATGTTGGTGTGTTGAAAATGTGATGCTAGATTCACAGGGACTGTCTAACCACTAATTGTATATATGACAACCAAACACTGCTTTTCAAAAATGTTAATGAAAGGATGAACAAGAAATGTTTCAAATCTAACCAAGATGTAAGTAAACTGTGGCAAATTTAACATGAAAATCTTACTGGTATACTACAGTCTGTAATATGATTCTGCTCTAATAACATTTTGGACTGGTTTGGAAAAAGTATTTAAATCCACGTATTTAATTTTTTAAAATGTTATTTTCCAACAGCCAAGATGGGTCAGGAGATGTGCCCCTGTCTAATATGTGTGATATTGTTCCTTCATAGTGTACAGTGCAGATGTCATTGATTGCCACAATGGTGCCAAAGCCGGACAGGCCTCTGATCAGACATCGGATACCAATCCTTTAGAGCAGAAAGATCAACCAGAATCTGTACACACTTTCCCAGACAGCCGTGCTGTAATCATCCTCATCCCTGTCAGGCTTGGAGGGGAGAGGACTAACCCTCAGTATTTCAACTTTGCAAAGGTAAGGGATTTATCTGTTTAAAATTGAATGTAATTATTAAAAAAACTGTTGTCTGGACCTGGACAAAATGTTAAATCAAATTAGAGTAATTATGGTGCAAAGGAATGGAAACAAGTCACTTTAGAAAACTTGATTCAGAATTTCCGTTTTAAATCTATCACAGTATTAAACAGGAATAAAACTGAAAGTGTTTTGTCCCTCACTCAGACATAATGTGTCCTGTCCGTGTGTGTTCTTTCAGAGTATACTTAGTCTGGAGTACTGCATTGGCATCATCGGAGGAAAGCCCAAACAAGCGTGCTACTTTGTTGGATTTCAAGGTTAGTGTTAGCATAATGGAAAACAGAGAAAGACACACAGAGTGGTTGCAGTGAATAACAAATTATCTTTGCATAATATACCCTTCGTACATGTAGAGACAAAATAAGTTAATATATTCATGTTTGCGTGAGGAAAACGGAGAGGAGTGGAGATGAAAGCAAGTGAAGCAGGGCTTACTTTATTCTCTCTGACCCATCAAAGCCTCACCCATTTATCACAAGTAAACCTCCCAACTTGTGAGCTGTAATTGATTTCCATAGGAGGCATGCATTAAATTTTATCCGGGCCCCAAAGTGAACCACTTTTCATCACCTTCAGAAGCCAGGAGGAACCTTCAGTTGTACATCTTGGCAGTCAATATTTACACATTTACATTTTACCAATTTGAAATACAGTGGTGGATGATGTCTAAATGACAAGCAATACATTCTCCCTGCCAGAGCATGGCTCAGCAATGCATTTATCTTATGCAAATGGTTGAATATAATTGCCTGTTTGTAAAAGTAATTCCCCCACACAAAAATTAAATGACAGCCTCTTTTTTTTTTGTGGACATAAAGAATGTGCTTGTACAAACGCATCCGATTATGCAGAATTTAATCCACCCTGGTGGATATTAAAAAGCAACAACCTTCTGGGAGGCATATTTGACGCACATAAGCCCAACAGTAGGCCAAGCAGATGACTTTGAGCTACTCTACATAGAAATTGGGAAGAGGTGATTTTTTTTTTTTGTGGAATAATCTGATGTTTTTGAATAACTTGTCTTCTGTTTTGCCCTTGCAGATGACAGCTTGATTTACATGGACCCTCATTACTGTCAGTCTTTTGTGGATGTCAGCACCAGCAATTTCCCTCTACAGGTAATGTGAAATTACACAGACGAGCTGACTGGAGCCCCAGTAACATGAATTTAATAGTTTCTGTTATTACTTAAGGGTGTGAATTTTAAAGCACCGCTCAGCCCAATTACAGAGTCCCTCTCTGCTGATTTATTTGCTGCTCAGATAAGTGAAGCTGCACCTTAAGAGAAATACTGCAAATACAGGATCTGACAGTGTGAGGCTGAATATTTCTGAACCTATAAATAAAAATCAGCACTCAGCACTATGTAGCAACTTTGTTTTATGCTTTTGCATGCTGTGGCATACAATATGACAACACACCACAGGTGTAAATTTATGGACACAGTGACAGCAGATAAATAGGATTTCATTCATCAAATGATGCAGAATGTATCTTATTTTTTGTTGATGCTGTCATGGAGTGTATGCGTGTCCTGCAGTTACCTGGCCCCTCAACTTGATGAATATGTTCAGATATATTTTCTCTTTTCGTCAAGTCCTATCACTGCCCCTCGCCAAAGAAGATGCCTTTCAGCAAGATGGACCCAAGCTGCACCATCGGTTTCTACTCCAGAAGCAGTCAGGACTTTGAGAGAATCAGGGAAGAGCTATCCAAGGTGAGGAAAGCTGAGGCACTGAACACCTAGAAAAGAAGCTTGGTACATTCCACAATTGTATAAGACATTTCCCAGTTATTTTTATTGTTATTTTCAAATTACTGCTTGTCCATTTATTTTCTGCAGTGGTCATTCTTTGTCAGTCTGATATTTCCTGACCAGCAGGTGGCACCCTTTAGCCAAGAATCTAACTTAATTTGTGTTTCGTCTCTACAGAGTCATTATGTGGATAGATGTTTTAAACCATTCTTCCCTCCTTAAATGTACCATGCCTTTGCTTAAAGTCATTTTACTCATTGTATTGAAATTAATTAGATTTGCATCTAGAGAATGGAAAGGGCCCCCTGTCATGTTGGTGTCAAAATTCCAAACACAAATGCCAACTCTGTTGTTTTTCAAGGTTCTGCAGCCGTCACCTAAGGAAAAATACCCAGCATTCACATTCATGCAAGGTCACGGAGGAGATTATGACCTGTATGCAGGCCTGACCCCAGAGAAGCGGGAATGGCCATTCATCCGCGACCGGCGGGCCACTCTCACCATTGCTGGGGACTTTGTGCTTCTCTGACAGTCCTGTCTCGGCAGGTAGGGTCCCCCAAACGGCTCGAAAGTCAATGTCACACTTATGAAATTGTCCTAATACCGAGGTTCATATAAGTTTTTAAAACCACACTAACACAGTCTTTACGTCTTGGAAAGGCTGCTCCAGGACAAAACTCTTTTCATGTCCTGGTGATGTTAACTGCCTCAGTAACTAGCCAGGATCCTGCTTTTGAAGATCTGCTGAATCGAAAGACCCTTTATTCTTTATTTTTTGGTTTAACCAGCACAAAGGAAAATAATGTACGTTTTGCACCTTTACATGTATTTTTGTAGACAAGTTGTGAATACACACTTTATGAAAACTTTGTCACACTTCAGGCCTCGTAATTAAAATTAGGGTAGATTAGAATCTTTTTGGTTCAGAATAAAACCACATTTAAATAGTTGTTTAAAAAAGTCTTCATTTGACATGAAAGTGATTGCATCTTTAAGTATTCTTTATGTATTTTTTTTGTTATACCCCTGATGGTTTATGGCAAAATTACTAGTGTAGATGTAGATATTTCCTTAAATTAATTAAGAATGTAAATTAAAACAGTGGGGAATCAGTGACCAGATTTGGGGTGTTCAAAATTAAAATAGCATGTGATACTATTGCATAGAATATATTTTTGGAAGTATGTAACTATGGGCAATCATGACAAAGCCTAATTTTGTTTTGCATTCTTAGTTTGGAAGGGGGCACTCATTTCTTTTGCATGAATTAGTAGATTAGATGATCTTTTATAAATCAACTATTTGCACACAATGAGGTATGATTAAAGACTTGATTAGAAAAATATTTTTTGCAATTCCTTTTTACTATGAAATAAGCCCCAAACATAAGATTTTATTCAATGAGATTTGACAGGATTTCCATAGAATTATCCATAGGTCCACTGACATTTCCAATCTGAATTAATTTCTAATGGTGCCATGTAGAAGTAATAATTATATCTAAAATCAGTGTATGGTGTTTGAAATTTCTTCTTAGGGCAATATTAGGAATACTTGAAGTTTCATAATTTGCCTAAAATCTTTTGTATGAGGCACGGCTTTTCTGATGATAGACCGAGCCAAGTGACTATTACAGAGTTCTCAGCGAAGTTCATTTCAGTAAGCTAGCAAAATTCTGAAAAACATACAAATCAAACAACAGCTCTCTAAATTGATACTTTAGCTAATTTATACCTCTCAGCAATAATGTGTTACTCTGTGTGTTCCTTTATATGCATGAAGTTGAAAGCGATGAGTGCTAGCAAGAGTCAAAGGGATGAACCGGTCATCTGCCATACCTCAGGAAGCAGCAGGCGACGTGTGTTCCACATTTAGATTCAGCACTCAAAGGCAAAACATAAAGCAGTTTCAGTGTATAGTAAGAAAAACATTTCAAATGTCAACATCAATAAGTTTAATTTTTTTTAAAAATCCGTTATTACCCATTATATTGTTAAGTCTCCGGGATTGTTTCAACATTTCATGTTTCTTTCACTAAGATGGCTACTACTTTCTTTTTCTTTCTCAGATCTATTTTCTACCAGTGAGTGTATAAAAATTTCTGTCTGTGCAATAACTACAAATGATCAAACTGTAAATGCCAATGTAAGTGCATGAGATGATATGCTGAGTTACAAACCTCAGTCAAGCACTTTTGGAACGTGAAAAACACTGCAGTATCCTGAATCATTGTCATGTGTTTTCATACAGAGCAAAACCTGCACTGCATAACTATTTCCAAAACCTACAAAAGTATGTGTAAATCTACTCTGTAAAATGTTCTAACACTGTCACTGACAAAAGAAAAGCTGAATAAAGTATTTCAATTTATCAGTTTGCTTCATTTGGGTTCCTTTTAAAAATAAATAAATGTTTCCTTCATTTCCACTGCTGCAGACAAACCTCAGCAGTGTGTTGAAATGAATTGAATCCCTTTCTCTTCCAGTCAAATGTAGTAGATTAAAACTAATCGTACGTGCTAACCATCTCTACAGCCCATTAACCAAGAACCGGAAAAAATGTGACCCATTGACACTGGCAGCGATTGTGTTCCTCTATGGAGGAAGAGAAAATATCCTTGTGTGCAAAGCTCTGTTACCATGGATAATCTGTCTGTTGCCCTCTCAGTTTGAGCTATGCTGGACTGTTTTCTTGTACAATACAAATTCTTGTATTATGATGAGCTGTTCTTTTTAAAGGAGGGATCTGTCCCTTCTGCGAGGAAGCAGGGGCAAGGGTGAGGATGGGTAGACAGACAGTAAGAATCCCTCATCTGTTTTCTGCCACGGAGAAGCAAAGGCAAAACACATAAAGCCATCATTTAGATCCCCTGTCTGATCTGTGTTTTTGTCCTTTATTTTTCTTCGGGGCTTGACAACAGGCTGTGTAGATGGAGCGAGGGCATCAAATATGCAAAAGGAAAGAAGACTGCAGAGACAGTCTTCTCTTTTGGAGCGTAGATCTGAAAAGGAAGTGTTGAATGGACAGGAGGGGATGGGACATTTGGGGTTTTTGTCAAAGACATGAAGGAGCATTTGTGCCGGGGTACACAGAGTGATCTAAGGATTGCCTGTGTTCACCGTGTACCTACAGAGGATGTATGAATATTTGATTAATAAGTCTCAGGCTCAGGGGAAATGCGAGACCCAAGTGGTTGCTTAACAAATGCGGGCTGATCGCACGTACACAATGCTGTGTAACACAGCTGCTTAAAGTGTCACTGTTACTGCAGATTCCTGAACATTTAAACTGTGGTCAAGCAAATACCTCACAAAAAAGGGACTCCATGGGCCCTCTGTTTTAGATGGGTAGGGTTTGGAGATCAGTTGCAAAGAAAATAATATCAAAACAAAAAATAATTGCTTTTGGACTCGTCTGTTGGAGGAAATTGAGCTGTGCAGCCCTTTCAGCAGGGAGGGAGATCAAGTGGCTTTCTCATGTTTAGATCATACCTACCCTTAGAATAACCATGTGATCATGATTGTGTCAGAACATTCATCAGGACAAGGAGACCTTCAGCTCTTACCTTTAAATCAGAGGGGTGACCTGAGATGAAACGAGCTCTACAAAACATACAACTCATACAAGCATTAAAGCATTTATCATTTAAAATCTGAAATTGGAACTATACAAATTAAAGGAGGCTGTCATCTTTCAGGGCAACCAAAGCATTATAAATAATTTCCCTTTGGGATTATTAAAGTATTTCTGATTCTGATATATTCTGATATATTCGAAGTGGATAGGCTGAACTTTTATGTCTACATTAGAAAATGTGTGTTTTATCGATTGAAAACGGTGACTCCAATGCACCAAATGTCATTTCAAACCCAGCGGTTGTCCAATTCTCCTGCAGTCCGGACGAGGACGTCGGTTTTGTCCAGGAGAATTTCCTAAAAGAAAAAAATTGAAAATGCAGTATGCACAGTACGTGCGCCGGTGTCTGATGTCTTTTTCATTTTTCATTCATAAGAAGCTTGTGAATTTATATGGATGAATGTGTAGTTTACACATGTACAGCTTGTGTGTTAGACATTCTAAATCTTAGGTGTCACACTGCCTCCCTGTCTTCACACCAGGTGCAGGGGTGCAAGATTTATACCCAGTAGCCTTTGCCCACCCTTGTGGAATGCCATGCATCTTCAAACAGGTACTTCACTTTGAAATCTCATCTCGGCGTGATCTCTTGGTGGCTAAATATACCCAGCTCCCGGATCCCGCAGCCGTCGGAGCGTAAATACCGCCTGCGCTGCATCAGACTGCATTCAGAGTCTCAAGTCTGTCCATGCAACTGTCCACTTGTCTCCACCCATCTCCTCCGACGCCCCCATGAGCTCCTGGAGAAGTGCTGAGGCACTGCATGCCTAACACATCTCCTCTGGGCTGAAGCCAGACAAATGTCATGTTGCTGTGATTAATCAGCACCACACAAGACAGCAGCTTTAACGGCGTTCCACCCCGTGAACATGACCTACAGCACATACTGGGGCAAAGGTCCCGCACCTTTTTTCCCTCTTTGGGCAAAAATGTGCTTGTGATGGACCCAGACCTGAATGGTTTAGCAATCACAAATACACCATTTTGCACAAATGTTTTGAGAAATGTGGCAGCTGAAGAAATAGAGCAGATCTAGTGATGAACTGGAGTCTTTTGAAGACCATCAGCAACTCGGTAATTACAGATTTTCTGTTGAATTAAATCCATCTATTTCACGTGATTGTTGTTTATGACTAAAATCTCATTTACAAGTGATACTGAAGAAAAAAACTATTACCCCAAGTATAAATCAGCACCAATAAACCAAAAGAGCTACATGCATTTGCTTATTCAACTGAGAGGGAAAAATCTAGTTTTTGTGAATTTACTGGAGAAGAGCATCTTCTTAGAATATAAATACTTTTTTTTATTTTTATGAATTAGGCTTTTTTAATAGTTAATCCATTACATATACATAATAAATATCTATATACAGATATTAAAACATTATTTTGTTAATGTCATGCAAAATATCTTCTGAAAATTATTTTCTGACATAATTTTAAAAATCATATAAAAACTTAAGTATCATAAGGACAAGAAGCAGTATCCCGTAGACCTGGGGCGTTTGCTTCTGACTCCTTTCCTCTTCCAGCAGAATGCAGTTTCCCATGGCAGAGGCCCAAAGCAAAGCTCCTCACCTACTGTTGGCTAACCTCGCCCGGGCTGTGACAAGAGGAAGGGCACTGGAGTTAACATTTAGATAACGGATGTGTGTGTCGCTTTTGATTTCCATTCCTGGTGACAGAGAATCTTGGGAGCACTTTCCAGGTTGTGGGTGCTGTGTGTGGGGACGTGTTTGGGGGGGGGGGGCACTCTTGTGCTTCCAGCATCCCTGAGGTGATGTGGAGGAACGCCAAAATTCCTCATTCTGGTGTCTTCTGAGGCATGGCCAGCCCACTGTCAGCTTTTGCTAACCAGATGCATCCGAAACCGGCGCTCAGGCTGAAGGCAGTGGATATTGCCTGCTGTGGAGCTGTCGACTTGTTTCTCATTGCATGCCAGTGTTGAACAGGGTGGCAAGCGTGTTGTGTGTATGTGTGAATTGGGTGGGGGAGTGAAGGTTAGCAGGTTGTCAGCCTGTCTGTGTGTGTAAAATGTTCATGGCAGGACATGCAATGAATCTAAGATTGTGTATCATCTACTACATACACACACACAGACACTCCAGTTTAAGCTTAACCTGATGTCAGGATTGTAACTTACATCAGTCTCTGCCATGGTGTGGCCGGTAAGTTTTTGGCTAGTTTTTATTCCCTAACAAGCGGCACTTTAATGGCATACAGTAGGCTGCGTCTGTGGGTCAGTGACAGATAGCAGTAAATCAAATGGAAAAAAAATCAGGGATCGCAATTTAAGATTCTTACCCTCAGCCTGTCAGTGTATGTGTGCTAGAAATCTCTCCCAATCCTGTAGATTTGTATCTTTGTGTGCTACTTTACCACCTCATCACCATCTAAAACTCCTGCAGGCCTCGTGCACCATTATCATGCAGTTGCAATAAAACCCACAGTAATTAAAGGGGATCTGGCTTTAATTGCCTCAGTGAATCAACTTAATCAGCACCTGTGCTCACAGTCAACCTAATGGTGCAAATGTAACCTTTTAATACTCAAGAAATTAGAATTGTAAAAAATTATACACCTGATAATCATTCTATATTTTCAATTTCTGAGTGGACAATGAGTGGACCATTGTCCAAGGCAAATATTGCAGCAGCTGTCAGCAGAGTGAGCAAATCATTGTGTGAGTGACAATGAGGTATGGTGCTAAAACAGAAACATCATTATGATATAGCAGTTAATAAATCAAACTGTGCTATCGTAGCTCCTCTCAAAAAAGTTGGAGTTAGTCAAAAATGTTGAGCGGTTGTGAATAAGACAAATGTAATAAACCAACCAAAGATCAAATCAAACAAGACATAAGTAAAACAAATTAAATAATAACATAAAACAATAACAATACAATGACATAAAAAATGATCAAATAACCTTTACATTTAACTGATTTTTTCAAATAAAAAACATTTGCCGTGTCTAATATTCTGCCTTGGTGATCCCTTAAATGTACATCTGTATTAGGATGAGTAAATGAGTGCAAATCCAAGGAATGCTTATTAAAGTCTAGAAGTGTATGAAAAAAGTGTAGGTGTTCGGTGTAGGCTGTTCCACTGGGACTGCCACAGCTGTCGGCTCAGTCGCACATCAAGTTTGACCCCCCCACTCTGTCTCCAAGCTTTACAAACAGAACAGCAAGCCACAAAAGAGGCACAGCAGTCTTTTCCTTAGCAAACCCATGTCGTGTGAAACAGCTTTACCAGATTCGTCTAAAATCTGTTTAATCCAATGTGATTAGCAAAGCGCATTAAGTTATCATTGATGCCGTGTTCTAATCAAAGCTACCAGAGATGGAATTGAAAAACATTACTGGTGCCTTTGTCAGTGAATCTTGGAAATGGTCTGTCATGCATAACAGCATTTTTTGCAACCATGTAATGTTTTATTTTGTTTAGAAAACAAGTTGAAATCAGCTTAATTTACTACCTGCTCGACATACACATTTAAGTCCATTTGCAGTTTGGTCACTCTATTCAATTGGACTAAAACCTTGGTTTTTAAACTGGCGGAGTTGAGTTATTGACCAAAGTTTTTCCCATGCTGCACACATGAATATGTGATTAGCAGGTTATGATTAAACGTTCCAGACATTCTGCTGATTCTAACTTTCTCAGTGGGATAAACATATAGCCTAATTCCCTTCACATATGCTGCATCTGCATTACTTG